ACAACTTAAACTCTAAGGCAAGCAGAGGGGACACACAAATTAAATCAATGATCTCCTTTTTCTCAGTACATAATCTCCACTCTTCACTAGTTCTATGCACTACCATTCCCACATCTTAAGCTCTCCAGAAAACTAATATTTGCTCTACTCAAGCTCTTTGGGCAAAAAAAAAAAAAAAAAGCATACTTTAAGACTGCAAAATGGGAAAACTGAAGTCAATGGGATGGATGGATACATAGTCTCTGACATTCCTTCCATTTAATGAGTATAGGTCTAGGATGATTTCACAAAACCAAATCTCATTATTTTGAGAAATTCTTCCTTTTGCCAACTTAAAAATGTTTTCTCTCTTCAAATAACCAACCTATTATTTCTCAAGATACTACTTTAAATTTCATTGACTTAATATAGAAACCTCAAAATTCTATTTGCCACAATACCTCCCACTGTGTTCCATATCCAACATGCCCTGGGATTTAGAACCATAGGGAACCTACTCCAGAATACTTCCATAATAATAGAATTTTGACAGTATTTGCAAAATACATAATTGACCACTCATGTTGACCAAGAGTTTCCAATTTTATTCACTTATCTGGTATCTCACATCTTCTACCTGCTGAAGAGCAGAAAATCATTGGGGGCAGAGCACATTCTCTAGAGCAGGGACCTAGATCCTATTCCTCCCAGCTAAGGAAACTCACCAACTGAACGTCCTACACTGGAGTCTTGGACTTCCCAACTTACCAGCACTACTGACTACTGGCTTGACCATGAACTGAACATATCCAGATGACAGCGTCCAACACGATTCACTCTTAAATCTTTCCCATGCTCAGAACTGAACTCTCAAGACATTCTTGCTGTTCATTTCTGTTCTTGTCAAAGGATGAAGGTCTCAAATCAGGTCCCCAATAAACAGAACTAAACCTAAGCACAGTAGTGTTGGAGCTGAACTTGAAAATTATTCAGATTTCCATGTTAATGTCATCATGCATAAACAAATCAAAATGCAAAACTTGACATTTAGTTTTAAGGTAAGACACTGAGATTCGCATTGGACTCAGTTAAAACCTGAGTCCCAGGAGTGAGTATTAACCCTTCTCTGCTTGAAGGGATGTCTTTACAGAAGACATTTGTTTCGTAGTAGGCATACAATGGGCCATCATATTTCACTGCTGAGCTACAGCTGATGAAGAAAGCCAGGACTTGACAGAGATTTCACTTGTCCCTAGGTTGAGTTTGTTCATATTAAGCTGTATCCAGTGGTACCAGTCTCCCAGGCAAGGTAAAGCACACTTGAATGGTAGTTAACACATTGTGGAAAATGTACTTGGAAATCCCCCAAAGCAAACAATAATAGCAATAATAATAGTGTCAAAGTCCCCACTTAAGATTCCTCCTTTGCCTAGACCATCCTGATGGCAAGAACCTTCTTCATAGGCCCTTCTGAGCAAGAGGCAAATGCTAGTGAAACCGCAACTGAGCCCCCTTGTCTCCTTATCTATCCCTGATGCTCTCCCGCCGCCCTACAGCCAGTTGTTAGGAGCGGGGACCAAGGGCTGTGTTCCCTACAAGGTTCCTCACACTTTCATCCATAGCTAGCCTGGTAAGCAGAGCCCCCCCCCTTTTTTTTTAGATTTGAAATACCATATAGCAAGAAATTAAATCTTGGATTTTGCATGTGACATGGCCTTTGGTATTCTGAGTAATGAATGAGATAGATAGAATGTGAAAGTCAGTCGGAGCCTTGGGAGATCAAGGAAGGCCTGAAGTGTAGCTGCATTTCATCCATTAATGAAATCACTGTCCCATCACTGACTGGTTCCTTTCTGGCTTAGTAGAACTGGTAAGCTTCCCATGTACACTTGGTAACTTTTCTGCATCTAAAAGTCTACAAGAGGCGTGGCTAATAACAGTAACTGGATTTAATGAGTATTTTGTCATTTGACTGGCACCATAAACACTCTAGTACTATGTTTTACAGGAAATTGATAATGTTCACATCATAACCAGTGGACACACAGGGCACACTCAGGCACATCTGTGGTGTTAAGCAATACTCTATACCATCTCCTCTTGCAGAATTTCCCCTTTTAAGGCCATAGGCCCTCTTCTCTCTGGTTATCAAGCAAATAGAAGCTAATTCTATGAAATGTTAGGAGCTTGCACCGATACTGGAACATCTTGATTAATACAGTCCTAAGTTCTCTCCACGTCCGGTGCATCCATGCTGCCAGACGGATGCAGAGCTGGACAGTGAGTTTAGTATTAGCAACTAGTAGTACCTGTCAACTCAATGCGCTGGCAACTCTCCTCATGCTAATCACATGCTTATGGGACAAATCCAACAGAAACACGGCCGTTACCTAACCACAGGGCTAACCAACCCTTTTTCCCTCTGACCACCACAGAAGGCCTTCCTCCCTACAGTGCTCCCTACAGTGCTCTCAAGGTGTACCTTCTGGACTGGAGGAGGACTTAAGACTCCCCAGGGGGCCTTCCCCAGCCTCAATCCTGTCCTTTGATGCTCCATTATACTACCTGGCAACAAATAACTGCAACTCTCTTAAGTCTGACTGCTTTTCCTCCCCTCATACTCTTGATTTGACAGGTGGGTGCCAAGAGTTTCAAGAAGGAATAATAGGAGGAGACAGAAGGGATTTGAGAGGTGGGGATTGACTGGTCATTTGGCATGTGGCAATCAAAACCAAGTGTGTGGTAGAAAAGCCATGCTGGTAAGAACAAGAAAAGAATCCTTAGAAAAGGTAAAATCCATTCGTGGCTTCTACAGCTCCACACCATATGCATTTGAAGAGGTGGAAGTAATTGGTTGAGTGCAGATTGGGTGAACCAGCATTTCCCCTCTTTCGTACTGACTTGAAAAGATGTCGGATGTCCTTCCATTTAAACTGCTTTGCTCACTGAACACAGTGCATGTCTCTTCTTTTTCATTTAAAGAGGATTACGAGAGAGGGTTGACAGAACAGAATGAACAACGCACCATTTTGAGGTCACACTATAATTTGTGTAGACCTTTGAAGTATAAACCACAAGCTAAATCATAAAAATTGCAAAATATTGGCTGATTTATTTAAAAACAAATATAGCAAAAAGAAAATGAATTTAACTTTAACCAAATTAAAATTAATATAAGCATTCTCTTTATTTTTCTTATTTTCCCAATATCCATCCACTTAGTTCCTCCTTCCTTTTTCTTTTTTTTTTTTTTTTTTAAAGATTTATTTATTTATTATGCATACAAAGTTCTGTCTGCATGTGTGCCTGCAGGCCAGAAGAGGGCACCAGATCTCATTACAGATGGTTGTGAGCCACCATGTGGTTGCTGGGAATTGAACTCAGGACCTCTGGAAGAGCAGTCAGTGCTCTTAAGCTCTGAGCCATCTCTCCAGCCCCTCCTTCCTTTTTCTAACACCCACCTCTGCTAGGGAAGCATCTGTGATAATTGGAACTGCATCCGCAGCCGACCCTCTCACATCACTTCAACTACTACATGGCAGTGTCAGAGCTTTGATTTTAATAAACAAAATTCTCAACATTAAATGAGCATCACTTCACTTCTAAGGCTGATGTGAAAGTAAAACAGTTGATTATTGCTTCCAGAGTTAAGCTGGCACAACCAAGACAGACAGGATCCAGACAAAAGTGACTGCTCCGTAGCAGTTACATAACCAATCTCACCCCTCCTAACACTCTATACAACTGTAAAATCCATCTCTCCAGTCTTTAAAATTCAAAGGGACAGCCTGTTGTCAAGCAACTTAACTTCTATACATGTTCAAATATATCCAGAGTATTACTGTGTTTGATGGCAGAGACTTAATTTTTTACATTAGGAAGTACAAAAAAACCATTTGTCAAAAAGACACTCATGTGATGTTTTGCAGGTATAGTATGTACTTTGTCAAACACACACACATACACACACACAAATTCACAATGTGCTATCCATTGCGCCACAGAGCCCACCTCAAATTCACAATGTGAAACCAAGAGTACTTACATTATTTAAAAAAAAAAAATTGCAACATTTATTTTTCAATCCCCTGAAAGTGTAAAACGGCTTACAAAATCAAGGGAAATATTTTACATGTCAAGACGTACATGCTGGATATGAGTTATATGGATATGGATATAGAAGCACCAGAACTCTTAAAAGTGTACAAAACTTGTCTGAACACAGAAGATGTATCTCCTTGTGAACTACTACATTCAGTTTGTGGGAAGAAACGGTACCACAAGGTCAGTAATATTCCAGAAGTATCTGAACTGCTTCCAGCTTTTAACGAAACAGCAAATACTGCTTTTTGATTTTTATACGAACCACCTAAATTTTAGGTTCCAATTTGAAGTGTTGCCTCATCCCATGACAGGTAGCATGAGAACTACTTTTGGTTATGATGCATTTTAAGCTATTCCATACATGTCGCATATGATATTAGGGTATTTAGTGCCCTAATGAAGTAATTAGGACTTTTCAAATACTCTACTACAATTGCAGGCAACAGTTGTTATTATGAAGTTAGAAGTAAATAACAGAATTTCTTGGTTTACAAATCAAAGCTATGATAGCAAAGAATTCCTCTTCTAAGACCATGTGGTCAATGAAGGTAGCAAAGCAGACCAATGTCTGCATCACCCAAACTGTGCTAACCCGGCTGTCTTGGATGACCTGATGAGTTTGAGGAAGGGACTTGGCCTGGTTCTCCGGTTCTCTCCCACCTCTAGGGTTACTCTAAATAGCTTATACAAAATCATATAATTCACACTAACACAAGCTCTAGAAGATGAGCCCCAAATGACACCTACATTAATGTTCATTTTCAATGTATTAAAAAAAATTGTTGTGCTTTTCACAAGTCTGATGAAAAAATTTCATGTGAAATATTTTATTTCTTGGTTTCCTTGGAAGGAAAAATAAAGACTATGAAAAGAAGTACACCAGAAGTCAGACTGTAAGATAACATTACACACACAACTAGCCAAAAATCTCTTTAATTTAAAGGATACTGTCATCACATGCCAGGTATTTATACAGAGACATATGTACGAACAAAATTTCCTCCCTAAAAGCCATGTTTTTTCCATGATAGTTTCACAGCAACCAGAATAGAAATCAATGCCTATACAGCCTGCCTGGTTACCCACTGAATATGCTTTTAGAGTTAAAGTACATTATTGCCACTCAAATCTAAACATTGTACTTTTAGGGAACTGTGCTTAAAAATGGCTCAGCGATTTGTTCAGTATGAGGACTATTTACAAAGGTAGCCATTTATGTTAGCAATAAATAATCCTGGAATCGACAGAGACAATCTGGCTCATGCACACCCTGGATGGCCGCATGCTACTAAAATATGTACACGGAGCGGCTGCTTCCCAGCTCTCCTTCAGGGTCAAAGTGCGTTCCTCTCCTCTCCACACTCCCTTCAGTCTTGCTTCTGGGGGATGCATCCTTCCATCTCGACCACCTCAGGCCATCCTTCGTACTTGTTTGTATCCTTATTGTTCTTTATGTGCTGAGGGAACACAACGAGAGGACACAGCTTAACAAATGCTTGTGGTCTGCTAACTTGCAGTAACATAACCCCCTCGTTCTCATCTCAGTAACACACATCAACAGTGAGGTAACAGAAACCACAGCTCAAGACATTCACTGAGTGACCCTTGTGGGCTGGGAGCTATCTGGCAAACCTTAAAGAACAAAAAGCTTGTAAAGAAAAATCTACAAATGTTTTTAAAGGATTACTTGTCAATAAGTTTATATTCTATTTCAGTTCTGAGATAGTTGCAAAATTAGCTGATTCGAGCATCAAAGTATAACTGAAATCCATAGTAACTGAGAGCGATAATGCACTGTTGTATAAGAGGGAAATAATTTTAATTCTGAAGAAATGTTTTTAAAGTCATCATTATTTTAATTATTTGCCAAGAACTTGTAAAAACTATCTGGAGATATTCAGTATTTGCTTATCCAATTTTTTTTTCCCTCTTTTTTGGGGATGGCAAGGGTTGAGACCAGGTTTCTCTTCATAGCCTTAGCTGGCCTCTAACTCAGAGGTCCACCTGCCTCTGCCTCCCAAGTGCTGGGATTAAAGGAGAGTACCACTACTGCCTGCCACTTAATCTAATTTTCAAATAACTGGTATGCAAATATTATATGAGAACATTTCACTAATTTACTCTTGCCCATTAGTTATGAACATCTCACACACTAACCTGTTCAAAGGGGCTTTTTGTCTTAATGCCCTTCCCACCACAGAAGACCCAGTTATCTCGAAAACCAAGGCTGGTGATGGACGTACTGCCCAGCTCAGCAATGAGCCTCCGCGCCTCATCAGTAAGTCTGAAAGAGAGGACAAGACATAAACACGGGGCATTGCACTTTTTAAATACTTACCGAGAGACTCGCTGAATATGAGGGTGGAAATGTTTCAGATTAAATCAGAGAATATACCAAAATGAATACAGAAAAAAAATTCTAAAACAACATTCCTACTTTCGTGATGAAAGGCAAAGTCAAGACGCAAGCAGTTAAGAGAGTACCCTATAAACATCTGCATTTCCTAACATGTGTCTTCATTTAGTTATTTCCAAGTCCACTCATCATCAGGGGAGACCGTGGCCCTGCTAACAGATGCCTACAGGGCTATCCAGCTCCTAAGCAACCAGTGTCTTTCACTTACTCTCCATCAAAGCCTTTGTGAGTTCCATGTGAATGGAAGAAAAGTGAATGCTGATGGGTACCAGAGGCTTCTTAGCATTGTCTTTTATTTAAGACAAATTTTGAGAATAGATATATAAACTGTACTTCGGTTATTTAATAAAAACCAACGTAGACGCCACGCGAGGGCTAAATGTTTATCAGGTAGGCAATGACAAGTCAGCCTCCAGACAAACTCTCAACTGAAGGATGCCATTAAAAATATCTGTGAGGATCCCACATGTGGAGTGATTCCCTCTCCTGCCTCCCAAAGAGCAGAAACAAAGCAGATGAACACTAGCTATAAATCTAGAAAAGGAACACTGAGGATCAGGTACCCGGGCTATTTGACACGAAGTCCTGCAATATAAACAAACAAAACCACCACCAATGACAACCAAAAGCCACCTTTTATAGATTCCTATAGATCCGTCCTGCTAGCACCCGAGGCAGGGGTGTGTGTGTGTGTGTGTGTGTGTGTGTGTGTGTGTGTGTGTGTGTCCCAGCAGGACAATCATGAGGAAGGTGCCGATTCACACCAGCATAGCCTTCAGCTCTCTGATGCCTCAATGGACAAACCACAATCTTAAACTGATGAGATACGTGGGGTGCCTTGCATTTAAAAGGGGAGCTTTATAAAATATGGAACACACTGATGTAACATTCAGCTCTCACCAAGTATTCAAATAATCACATCCACAGGACATGGGGACTGTTTCAAACACAGCTACATAGGGTCACCCTGGAGGAAGTTCACTAGACTCTGAGAAAATAAGCAAAAAGCCCCTGGAATACACAGCCTGTCCGACTCACTTCTGAAAAGACGCAGTGTGAACAAGTGAACTGAAAAGGTTCAAAAAGAGCTCATGAAAATTAATAATAATAATAATAATAATAATAATAATAATAATAATAATAATAATAATAATGGGACTGGAGAAACGGGGCAGTAGTGAAGGGCTGGTGCAGCTCTTGTAAAGGACTCAGTTCCCAGTTCCCACAATGGGTGGCTCACAACCATGTGAAACTTCAGTTCTAGGGTCCAATGCTTCTGGCCTCTGAGGACACGTGTGCATGTACACACACGTATGTACATATGTACAGACATGTACACACACACACACACACACTCATGTGCACGAGTGGGCTATTTAAAAAAAAAAAGGAAGAAGAAGAGCCCATGCCATCTGAGCCTGTGTGAAGACCTTCTCACGGATGCTCACAAGCTTCGGGCCAGCCGCATGGGCTCAGCAATCACTTCCCATGGTTTGCTCTATTGTGGAGCACCTTCTGCACTGGACGGTAACTCTGAAAGGACTAGCTGAGTCCTGTGTCCCAAAAAGTCATGGTTCTTCTACACATGCAGTTTCGCTATGTGCTCTACTTTCTGGCTACTTTTGAAAGAATTCTTTGCTTCTGTCAACACAGCCGGATGAGCTGTGATCCTGGAAGAAGAATAAAACATATTGTGATGTGGCTGACAGGCAGTCGGCTCATGGGGTGCCAATGTCACTGCCTCCTAAGACAGCCATAGGGCTCCATTCACATTTATTCCTCAGAGAAAGTATAATGAATCTTAAATCCACAAACAATGGTAACAACTGCACCCCAAACAGTTGGGTTACCCAAATGCAGGTATGCCCCCCTATTTTAAAAAACAGAAAGTAAAATATTTCCTATCAAAGAGTTTATATGAACTAAAACACATATACTGAAGGTGCAGTCAATCATCTTTCTGTGCTTTTGAATTTCACAAGTGAACATTATGATCCATGTGGATAAACCATGTCAAGTTAACCAGAGCAAGAATCAAATTGACTCCGTTAACTCCTGCATTTTCCATGAGAACATTATGATGTTCTTGTGCAGAAAGGAATTAGCATAAAAGACCTAAGTTCCCCTCAGAAAGCCTGCCAGCAAGACTGGCATTGCTGGCATCTGGACACATGCATCTGAGAAGAGCACCTACCCTTTCTAGAACTATATATGTGTGCACAAACGATGTCAGCTCAACTAGTCAGCTTTCAGTTCAGTAAGACACCCTGTCTCAAGGCAGTAAGTCAGAGAGCAATAGACGACATTTAATACCCTGCTCTGACCTCTACACAGAGACATACACCACACACACACACATGCATGCGCGTACAAGCACACAAATGCACACAGAATTTAAAAGTTTAAAATAAATAAAAGGACTGTTGGAAACCTGGCTCTGGTTCCCTCCAGCCTTTCCCCCTGGACTTGTACCCTTGCTGGTAACTGCTTTCTACCTTTTCCTGAAACAAATCATGGCCACAATGCTCAGACATAGACCCATAAACCCAGGTGTCTGGGTTTAACTATCAAATCACTTATTGATGACTTCTAATGCTCCCTGATCTTCCTGTGTAGAGTTTGTGGGTCGTTTCAGTGTTCCTTTTGGTTGTATTCTATTTTAAGCAATTTCTTATTTCAGAAGGAAGTCTAAATCAATGTAAAGCAGTCCGTGTCCATACAATGTAACATATACAGGTGTCAAAATGTCTTCTCTTTAAAAGCCCAGAATAATCAATACAGCATAAAACTCGGAGATATAAGCTTTTGGTTCTGAAGGAAGTAGTAAGGACTTGCTGTGTGTTTAGTACTTACTAATGGTATTAACTAGCTGAGTTCTGAATTGATGTTTAAAAAGCTAAGGAGATGACTTGGTGGCTAAGAGTGCATGAGGACCTGGGCTTGAGCCTCAGCATGTCCACCGAAAGCCAGCAAGGCCACATACGTCTGTATCCCTGGTGCTAGGGAGAGCATGGAGGCTGCAAGATGATACCTGAGGCTTGCTTGCTGACCAATGGCCCAGCTGAGAAACTGTAAGTGCCAGGTGCAGCTGGAGACCCTTTCTCAAGGGAATAACGCAGAGAGCAAGAAAAGGACACTGATGTCCTCAAGGGCACACATGCCTACACAATGTTTTGTCATATACACACACATACACACACACACACACACACACACACACACACACACACACACACACACACTTTTTTATGTTGGGGGACAGCAAGATGGCTCAAGAAGATAAAAGCTCTTGACACCAAGCATGAAGAGCTGAGTTTGTTCTCCAGGATAGACATGGTAGAAGTAAAGAACCAACTCTGGCAAGCTGTCCTCTGACCTCCATATGCACACCATGGAATGTGTGTGTTCATTCACACGTCCACAATAAATAAAGTGTAATACATTTTTAAGGGATTATGTTGAATCAACTATTTTAGTGAAGAACTTTCTTTAAGGTAAATAAAAGGCTTTCCAATGACATAACAGAAAAGAAACAAAGTCAGGGGGTCACTTTTTTTGTAAAGCCATCCTAATGCTGCATAGGGTTGACCCAGAACAGAGACAGGTATAATAGGGCCCCAGATCTTAGTAGACACAGATCTTAGCACAACTGACTCCATGATGGAAGTCCCATCCAGGCCACACAAAACTCAGCACCTAGACAGTGCTACCTGCCAAAATGAAAACAAATACCCAATCTATCAAAGTCCATAGTACTGGGAAAGTCTCTAAATGGCTTCTATAGTTCCAGTTCCAGCTAACTGTTCTTGTTAACTGAAGTATGTCAACCCAGGGCATAGTTTTTATGCTTAAAAGCTCACCCTGAGAAAGGCTGAGATCACTGGGGTCCTGAACACCCAGTGCAGTTGCCGGCTGGCTAACAAAGACTTTCTACTGACTTAAACCCATGTCCGAGCAGTCTCCTCTGGTGAATACTCTACCACACAGGGAACAACTGGAGATGGAAGTCTCCAATCAGGTTCCATCCTTACTGGGAAAGGAGGTACACCCAGCAGGCCTACACCATCCAGCCAAGCCATGCCTCTTTAAGGAGGTATACCCAGCAGGCCTACACCATCCAGCCAAGCCATGCCTCTCCTCCCAAGCACAGAACAGAAAAGGGAGAACTGGTGCTCTGGGATCAATTCTTATCAGCAGGAAGGAACAATGTAGGAAATATAAGTACCAGGAATTCTGGAAGAAAACAGTCACACTCCTCTGAAGTCTGAAGACTAAGAAATATAATCACAGGGGGCTATCGAAACCAGAGATGAAACACAGCTCCTAAGGAATTCTTATGAGGATGTAGTTCTTTGAAAGCAAGCAAACATGGGCCGGGAGATGGCTCAGTGGGTCAGGACACATGCCTACAAGCTTGGTGGCCTAAGTTTGATCCCTGGAGCCCGCACGGCAGGAGACAGCCAGCTCCTGAAAACTGTCCTCTGACCTTCACACATGTGACATGTACCCCGTCCCCACCCCCAACAAATAAATGAAATAAATAAATGCAAAAACAAGCAAGCAAACAAACACAACTAATAATTTAACTATGTAAAAATCTGGAAAGGGGGTAATTTCTAAATTAGTGCTATCACAGGAAAGGCTTAATTAATTGAAAACAGGAAAGCTTTTAAAGCATAAGGTACAGATCTCTGTGAGTTCAAGGCCAGCCTGGGCTACAGAATGAGTTCCAGGAAAGGCACAAAGCTACACAGAGAAACCTTGTCTCGAACCACCCCCCCACCAAAAAAAAAGTATAAGGTAAACCACATTACTAAAGACAAAGTTTTTCGAAATACTATAAAAACTAGCCATGTCAGAATGAAACAGAACTCAAAACCACAAAAAAACAGCATCTGCTACAAAGACAAAAAGAGTAGCGACGTGTAATGAAGGGACCCTGGTGTTACAGAAAGAGGAACAGAATACTGTCTGATCAAGGCAGTCTGCCCAGGGAAGCGAGCATGGCTTGGGTGATGGAAAAGAGAGCCATAACTCAACCAAGTCCAGGTCAGGACTTCAAAGACGATCTAGGCTCTGGGTCTACATACATCACACACACCATTTCTAAAGGAAACCACTAAGACAATTTAAGGAAGTGGCAACTGTTTTAGAAACAAAAAATGGAGATATGAAGACATTAAAAGTGTTAACACTCTGGAGTTTTCTTTCTATAACTCTTATATTTTATTTTTAAAAATAATCTTTGCTTTTTGTTTTTGAGATGACATCATTTTCTCTTTCCTTTTCCTTCCTCCTAATCCTCCCACATACCCCTTTCATTGATCTTTTTCCAGTTTAATTCATGTCCTTCCTCCCTCCCCCCTCTCCAATTTAATTCATGTCCTTCCTCCCTCCCCCCCTCTCCAATTTAATTCATGTCCTTCCTCCCTCCTTCCCTCCCTTCCTCCCTCCCTCTCTCTCCCTCCCTCCCTTCCTCTCTTTTGAGATAGGGTTTCATTATGTAGCCTTGGCAGTCTTGAAGCTCACTATATAGACCGCCCCCCTCCCACCCCCTCACCCCACAGTACTGGGACTGAAGGCGTGAGTCACATGTCCAGACTCTTTTTCTTTAATTGGTGGTGGTGTGGTGGTGTGTGTTCCTAAATGAATAAATACAACATGCTCTGTCCATATGCTGGCACTTCCATGGCTCAGGCAGAAGAGAAGGCAAAAAGATTGTAAAAGTCAGAGGAACAGGAAGTCTGCTGTGAGTAGAAATGTCAGTAGCTAGAAATGTCAGCAGGGGCAGGCATGAAGTCTCTTCAAACATGCCTAAACATGACCTGAACAAGAATACCAACAGACATGTTAACACGGCAGGGAGGGGGCGCTCAGGAGGCCTCAACCCTAGACAGATCACCACAGACAACTAAGGAAGCTGAGAAACAGTCTCCCCCAGGGAAGGACACACCAACTGATTATCTAGTTTTTGTTTTGTTTTGTTTTTAAGGCAAACAGGAGATGATGGCTTAGCTGTAAAGTGCATGGTGGGCAAACCAACAGACGTGAATTTGATTCTAGAACTGCACTTAAAAGCCAGAGTGACAGTGTACACCTACAACCCTGACTCCAATAAACCAAATTCCAACCGCTAACAAAACTCTGGATCAGAAGACAACACACAGCCCTTGTGAGGATAACAGTGAAGGGAGACGTCAAGGGGGAGTTAGCTGGATGGGCACAGGAGTGAATCAGGCCAAGCTAAATGACATCTCTGAAACTTAAGCTCATGGCAGCAGGTCAGGCACTGTAATTAGTTTCCTCTATGAATTTCAAGTCAGCAACTGATCGCCTCAGAAAACGTTGCTGTGAGTAAAAGAACTAAGCCGCAGCTGGAGAGCCCGCCTACCGGGGGGACACTGACCGTTGTCTGCAAAGCCATCCCTGCCATGGATTAACAGAAGAATCCCGTGAGGAACCAGGTCTCCAGTTTGGTGGCATGCTGCCCTCGGTAAACATTTTTATCAAGGGCTTAAATTTAGACACATGACTTTGGAGTGAGTACAAAGCCTGGATCTCGGAACCGTCCGAGGACACACGTCAGACTCAAGACCAAGCAGGCCCAATCAGTACAATCACATCTAACAGGAATAAATGAATATAAAGTTCTTCATTTACATTAAACAAAATCAAGTTCTGAATGAAGAAAAACCTGACTTGGCAGTGGCTTAGAAAAAAAAAGTCTGAGATCAAAGGAAAAGATCTGACAATTTAACAATCTCACTTGACCAAAAATTTATGAGCCAAAAATGTGATTTGATTGCTTAGAGAAAACTAATATAATTCAAGTCAGCATGAATATTCAAAGAAATGTAATCTCCGAAACATGGCAAGTTAGCGTCTCCATTGTAGCCGTTCTGGCCAGGCCACATCTGGAACACTGTGTTTAATTTAAAGAGAGACAATAATGAACTGAAGAATGCCCAAGAAACGCAGCCAGGAAGGAAAATGAACAAGAGCCTAATATGATAAAAGGTTTTCAAAGCTATGTGTATTGAGCCTGGAAAACTACAAGAAAAATGTCAATTAGCTTCAAATATTTTGGTATCAGGTGACGAGGGAACGCTTTCATTGTCTTGCTGTTCCATTTACCCGAAATGAGGACTGCTGAACAGCATTGAGAGCCCACCCTGAAAAGACAGCATCTCTTCCCTGTCGCCTCTGCCTCCTTTGTTTTGAATAGGGAAGCAGCGAGGGTGCTGGCCTCCAGCAGGCGGGAAGTCGAAGGACACAGCTGAGATTTAAGGAACTTGCTCAGGCTTGTTGCCTGCTTCAGGTGGCCTTCAGGGCATCCACAGTGTGACCTTCTCAAGGCGACATCCGAATCTCATCTGAGTTCCCATCAGGCTCAGTAATAAAAGCATGTGATAAAAAAGAAAGGTCTTGTGTGTCTAGATGGAAAAGGAGCTTTTATACTGAAAGTTGTCATTACACACACAATAACCCATAATCTAGCCAAACCAATGCACAAGTCACCTTTTTAATGAATAAAGTTTAATTAACTAGACTCTGTACTATGTAGCTATGGAAAACCAGCTGAACCTGCCAGTCACATTAAGCTTCGAGTTTATAGACTGAACATTATCATTAGCTGAATCAGTGAAGATGCAATGTCAATGTCATTCACAAAACGCTCTAAAAAATAATACCCGAGAGGAATAAAGCATGCTCATTTTCACTGAGCAGTCATTGAGCAACTGAAACAGTGTCTTTCGGAAGAGAAAGACAGAGGCTGACAGAAGAGAGCTAGAGAAAATCCAAGCCATCTTGGAGCCTGACACAACACAGACGCTGGAAACCTCTGGAAACGACAAATGGGTTTTTAAAATACAGGAAAAGAGTAAAATCTCTGCAAGAGAAAATCTACTACTTATCTAGTTAGGAGATGGAAAAATAGTTCTTGAGCTTAAGAGTCAGAAAAACTAAAAGGAAAAACCTGCAGGTTCAACTATGGAAATGCCACCCTACTCTGCCAGAAGTCAAAGGTACCTAAAGTTGACAAAATTAAAAGCAAACTGTCTACAAAAACTATATTTTCAATAAAAGAACTTGTTAATAATAGCTTAAGATATAAAGGGCTCTTACCAATTAATATGGGTCAACTTGAATGGTCAAAGGATAATTCATAAAAGAAAATACAAAAATAAAAAAGAAAGAAAAAACTTACCTACCATGCGCACACACACACACACACACACACACACACACAGAAGTCTAATCTCATAATGAAATAAGCCATTAAAAAAATTCTGCAACTGGAAACTCTAAAAAATGTACATATACCTTAACTCAATAATCTCACTTAAAATTTTCATCTTAAGAAAATAGACAGGTCACATTGATTTTTTTTTAAGATTATAAAATCATACATTTTAAAACACTCTAAAAATTGTACACATACCTTAAGACTCAATAATCTCACTTAAAATTTTTATCTTAAGAAAACAGGTCACATTGATTTTTTTTAAAATTATAAAATCATACATTTTAAAACAATGAGACATGAGCAACTATATTGTAAGAAATATTTAATATGGGGAAATATATACCAAATAAGTGGAAAAGGTATGTTTTAAGTGCTACCATCTGCAATACTTAAAGTGCAGAGACTGTGCAGGAAGTTATCGGAAATGGAAAGAATCTACAATGTTTTTAACTGTTATCCCTGCACAATGAGATGATCTAACTTCTTTTTCTCTTTGCGATTTTCTATGCTTTTCACATTTCACAACATACACAAGAAAGTAAGTTACTTTTTCTCTTTGTGATTTTCTATGCTTTCCAAATTTGACAACTTACACAATACAAGAAAGTAAGTTACAAAACTATCACCTGTTAAACTTTATGAAAACTATATAAATCCTGGGCTGCAGAGAAGGCTCAGTGGGCAAGAATGCCACTGTTCGGGCAAGGGACCCAAATTAGACTCTCAGCACCCATGTCACGTGGCTCACAATTACCCGGAACTCCAGCTGCACAGAATCTAACACTTCTGGCCTCCATAGGTATCAGCACTCATATGTACGCGTACACACTTACACATACATACACACACACCTCACATCTATGTCCTTGACCATTAATTTCACTTTTAGAAATTCACCATAATGTTGTAATCAAAAGTACAGAGAAAAAATTATATAAAACAGTTATCAAATTATTCATCAGATGAAAAACCTTTGCAGTTACAGAGGAACTGTTCCACAATGTGAGCCCAGAGGCCAAACTGCTAGGAGCCATAAAAATGCTACTGAAGAATGTTACTCCAAACTACAAAACAGAGGAATGTTAGAGAAAATAGTTTAATACTGTTACAATATAAAAGAAAGTAAAAAATACTACGTAAATGTGATTTAAATTTCATCCTAACATGAAGAATCTTTACACATAAAGATAGGAAAGAAATAAGACTTTTTAAAAGGCGATAGTGCTTATCTACAGCTACCTTAACTTAATAGACTGTTTTTCAATGAAAATGCATTGCTTTTTAAAGGATAAAGGATAGCTCCAAAAGCTGTGTCCGGCTTTAATTTACATACTTGGTTGCTCCATCGTCGTATGTTGCCATTAACACGACTGTTCCATCTGGTATGTTCTTCAGAAACTCAATGAACGGTGCCACATCTGAAAGAAAAAAAAGGGTTGGGGGCTCTCTTTGTAGATGATGGAATTACTATCACAACAATTTCTAAAGTTAATGTCATAGGCAGTTTCCACAAAACAACTATCTAATGAAAAGTAATGTACAGGTAAAACAGACAAATCTTAGGAAAAGTTTAAAAACTCAAGGTTTTTGAGTTCACCCAGGGAAGGAAAAAATACATACTAAACAAAATTACCAAATTGATTCTTTAATATGGTCCCTCCATTTCCTGATTTATTTCCCAGTTCTGAATCATCTTGTGTCTTTCATACTCATACCATCAAGGCCAATAAAAATCCATAGTAAAGTCATGTAAATGCATCTCTTATAAAGTGAGGAACTCAGGGATCTCAGAAGTATGTAACTGGGCTTACAGTCCACAGGAAGCCGGATTCTCAGGTCCATGTGAAGAAATACATTACTGGGCTTACAGTCCACAGGAAGCCTGATTCTCAGGTCCACATGAAAATATATAACTGGGTTTACAGTCCACAGGAAGCCTGATTCTCCGGTTCATGTGAAGAAATACATAACTAGCTTACAGTCCATAGGAAGCCCGATTCTCAGGTCCACGTGAAAATATGTAACTGGGCTTACAGTCCCTGATTCTCAGGTTCATGTGAAGCTTTGGGGACCATAAGGGGCATGGCCTTGAATGTTAATATGGGTGCTTTACTGGGAACAGGAAGCCCTGCTTCTATCCACTCCTCAGGAGACCTCTGTAAGAAGGCAGATTTATAGTTTCTAGGTGTATCACTTTGTAACAAACTGGGGGAAGGAATGCAGGCAGTGACTGAAAGCCAAACTAATTATGGCCAACATCGGTCCTCTTCCGTATCAAGTCCACAGGAACTTCACGATACTCCAGCTTGCTGAGTGCAAGCTGGTGCTGCCAGACAGACTGGTGAAGTACTAAAGCATTTTCCACCACGGATTCTTTGCAATGTTAGCTTTCCTTATAGACCACAAGTCTAAATGTACTCCAAACCTATATTACTGCAAGTCTTCCCTATTTTTTTCAACATCAAAGATTCCAAAAATTTTTTCTCTAATTGATTATAATTTTACCAAAAACCGCATTTTCAACGTAGAAACATAAATGCCAACAAATCATTTCCATTGAAATGAAAAGATGGCACTAAACTGCTATTATTTCTGAACCAAGAAGAGTCTTTGGCAGAAATCTGGTGCCTGTGATGGGCAGTGAGAGCCATACCAGAGCTCTGTTTACATGCCCAATTTCAACAGCTTCATGGAAGAGTTTCTATGTTATAAATTATACTAAGAGCAATTATGCTCTCAGAATCTAAAATTGATGGGAACAGTGTAATTTAATATAGCTCTGACAGTTATGAAACATTCTCTAAAGCTTAAATAAATAATACATAGCATCTTATTAAAAGCTGAAGAAATATTGGACATGTTAGCTTGTCTGAAAACTGAACATAAATGTCTGGAAGCCTGAGAGCTGCTGGCTTGTAGGGCATATATAAAGAAGCCAGGGAACTGAGAGGTAAGCCAGGTTGGCCTGCCTGCCTTAAAGACGAAGAAATCCTGGGGACTGGAAAGGTGGCTCAGAGGTTAGGCTAACCTTGAGTGAGTCGCTAACTCCAGAGTAACTTGTTACTCTTCTGGAGGACTTGAATCAGGCTCCAGCACCCACATCAGGTGGCTCACAACACCTGTAACTCCAGCTCCAGGAGTCCAGTGCTACATGCCTCCTCAGGCACCTGCACCATGTGTACATACCTACATGCAGACACACACCTACACACCATCAAAATCATGAAAATAAATATGTTTTCTTTGTTTTAAAAAAGAGATCTTTCTCTTTGGGGTAACATTCTTTAGGGAGCCAGTATTTGCTTCAATTTCATCAGTATTTGATGGTGACATTATTTGAAGCTATTCCTAGGACTCCCAAACACAGAAGGGAAAAATACCTGTGGCTTGTTCTGAGTCCAGTAAATTACAAAAGAAAGCCCACGTCTTTTCTCAAATGTCTGCTACTGTAATAGCAAAATTCAAAGGTAGAAATTGGATAGATTAATGGGATTATTTCAGTCTAAAACTGAGTGAACTGGTTATACTAGTCTTCAGACGATTCTGACTTTCAGGCAGAAATTGAAACCGACTCAGGGCTTTGAGTCAGTTGTCCTGTCAGAACAGGGGCGCTAACGTCCTTCAAATCTCATTGGAATCTCAATCACAGGCAATCTTCCTACCATAACCAAACGGCATGCAACATGACAGCCCACTTAAACATGGCCAGACATGCAGTGAGAGCAGATAGAGGGAAACAAAATGGAAATGCAAACAGGGGCACAGCTCTCTCTCAAATGGGTTCAGCGTCAGCCAGCAGGAGCACAGGGTAAGTTGCACGTACCTCCTCCCCACATGTCAAAATATTTGGTGTCTAGCACCTCCCCTGTTTTCCCTGAAAGAGACAGAATACATATTAAATCACACAACGGAAATATCAGGGTAGAAAAAAAAATGGTCTAACCCAACGAGTGGCATGAACTCATCGACAGAAGGAACTGCTTCTAGAACTTATGATCTGAATCATACACACAGCTATGCATCGCTGACTTCAGATCAGTTCTGTGCTACACTTCACGTTCATGTACGATCATCAACCCAAGACATTACCACCAATACATAACCTCTACAGCAAAGAGATTATCTACTTAAATCAGGACGAAAACAACAATCTATACTAAAGCTTTTTTTTTTTTTCCAAATAAAATGTATACTTATTTTATCTCAAAGATCAATTTAGTAGAAGAAGAGACATTAAAATTTTTACTTGGAAAAAAGAAAGTACAAAGTCAGATAATTATCACCTATGAATAAGAGCAAAGAGAGCTTTTCCCTGCTGGGGGTTGGCTGAGCTGCTGGGAGATTCTACTCACCCCAGGCAGTTATGGGAAATAAGTGGCTGAACAGACGCTGGCGTACAAAGGCAGCCCGTACTTCGTGGGCTGGATGCTTAAAACTGACTTTTTTAACACACACTATGTCCAGGATTCAGTGAACTTATTTGCACAAATGAACCTCTGAGAAGAATGTGGACAGTATTGAAAACTTACAACAAACTATGACTTTATTCTTCCCTCTACTTATTAGGAATCCACCATCCTTTGTCATTTTACACACCCTTAATCCTGATTACCTAACTTCATATTAAGTAGGAATTCTAAAAGATGCAGCAAGATGGCATCCACTTAGTATCAGACTAGTAGCTTGCAGTTTCACAAGAAGCTCGCCACACAATGTACATGACTGCAATATGCCATGAAAACGTGCTACCCATAAGAAGATCCCAAGTCTTCATCTACAATGATTTGGACAAGAGGGTACCCTTTTTGGGAAGGCTTCAGTATTGAGTGGTGCTTTCTACTCTGATGCCAAGGGTAAATTTTAGTGTGGGGCATAAATATACCCATTGACTACATCAATAAAGTACAATAACTAGTCTTACCATTTACCAAGGCAACATTTATTCCTCTTCCAACATTGTTCTTAACACCACTCATCAAACTAAAGGGAAAGAAGTCAAGACAAACTCATTAGAATATATGGAAACATGTCACAAAAATACAATGCAAAAAAAGGTATTATACACATATCAAACACTCAACTCAGCACATTAAAAACTTACTACATCAAAGACAGCCTTATGTTGAGTCAACTATAATGTCAACTCAAATAATACTTCATAAAATTAAAAAATACACATAAAGGTACAATGGTGCTCAAGAAATAGTTAGTGGTTAAGAACATGTACTACTCATACAGAGGATCCAGACCCATGTCAGGAGGCTCACAACAACCTCTTACTCCAATTACAGGGGATCTGATGCCTCTGGCCGCCATCAACACCTGTACTCACGTGCACACATCCAGACACATACAAAGAAAGTAAATTCTTTAAAATAGAAGCATTATGTCTCAAATGCCACAGTGCTACTACTCTGTACTGTACAGTGCCACCTGAGGCAATCCTTTAAGACATGGGCAGAGCAGGACTCAATCTCCACCACTGTCAAGAAGCCAAAGACCACGCCCTCTCTTCTCCATCTTCTGTAGGGTCACCATGATACCGTGACATGAAATGGAGTCATATTCTATAGCGACACTTTCAAATCGGAAGCCAGAGGAGTAATGGAGCATTGTCATGCCCATGTCACCTCACTGTGAACACTTTCCCATTTTCCTAGTGATTATTAACTTTCTCTGCACTCACAAGGAATGCTGTACTTGCTGATTATCTCACCACAGCCCCAAATGGGCTGCCTGAGACAACCAACATCAATGCAGCTTACAGACCATAACGCCAGTTGACAAGTGTGGGATGGAGGGCACACTGGCTTGTTATCAGCTTACTTTATTGAATATTAAACCCAAATTTGAGGAAATGTTAAATTACTAGAATTCAAGGTACCAGCCACTTCCCCATCAGTGTGTTGGAAGAGGGGTGCCGTGCTCACATTAGTATACTGCAAATTTTCCCGATAGAATGTGTAGCACACAATTTTGCAAATGAAATATATACTACTTTATCTTACATTCCTCATAGTCAATTGATTCTCACAGAACATGTCAACAGATTTCCACCAAACTCCCATCTGTAACTGAACCATGGTTGTAGGGAATATAATTCTAACAATTACTGAGTGACATACTCATGTATGTAAATGAGTAAGACAAAGGAAAAACTAAAAGAGTGTTGAAGCCTCATTTATCTGGTGATGAGAATGTCTTCACTGGCCAGTTACTTCCTCATTCTGTTGTTTGCAATGTTGTAAGAACAAGCCAAACAATGTTATGACGTGCAGCTAGGTCTCAGCTACACAAATAACATTTTCTCCTCTTTTTCTTAAGTCTAGATCTTAGTTTCAAAACCTTCCTGTTAAGGCAGACAGTAATCAGTATAAAGTATCTACAAAGGGACGTACTCAAAAACAGTAAAAAAAACTTCTTAAAATGTTTGTATTACCATATATTATAAATATGAATGAATCTCATTACATTTTGCATGTGCTTGGAATGTATTTTGATCATATATCTCATTACCCGCCTCCTCTTCCCAGCTACTCCTCTCAAATTAAACTTTTAAAAATGATCATAAAACTCAAAGTAAGCTGGGTGGTGGTGGCACATACCTTTAATCCCAGCACACGGGAGGCAGAGGCAGAGGCAGATAGATCTCTGAGTTTGAGGCCAGCCTGGTCTATAGAGCTAATTCTAGGACAGCCAAGATTATACAAAGAAACACTGTTTCCAAAAACAAAAACAAACAAAGAAATAAACAAAAAAAACCTCAAAGTAAAACAATGTGAAAATAGAATAAAATGCTAAAATGATAGACTTAATGTCTCACCTATCAGCATGTACAAGGAATATAAGTAGCTCAAACATACTGCATAAAAACAGAATAGGAACAATCAGTTATTACAGAACCAACTACATGATGATGACAATAAATTCACCTGAAACAGGTAACAGAAAGTAAATGGCTAAGAAAGCCTTTATGCAAACAACCCAAAGAGGAAATATCAATAATCAATCAATTTTAAAAACAGAAGGTTGGGATGAACAGTTTTCTATGGTAAATTTAAAAAATGCAAGACATTATTAACAACTAGGGAGGCACAAATCATGGACTCAAAGAGCTACAACTTCACTCCTACTAGACGCATAGGCATTTGGAGGACCCAGGACTTCACACTGTTGGCACACAGGTCAACCGATGAGGCCACTTTGGAAAAACAATCTGACAGTTCCTCCAAATGCGAGACAGCTATCTGAAAGAAAAGTCCACTACAGTCCAAGCACAGAGAGTGAAAACACATCCACACACAACCTGTGTAGAAAAGTTTCAGAAACACTGTTCTGGACAGTCAGCGAGGGGAAATATTCATACATCTATCAACCGATAAAGAGCAAAGCAAATGAGGCACATCTATAATGGAGAGGAATTCATCCATGAAAAGAAATAACGTGAGCTACAAGGTGGATGAACCTTGAAAACATTACACCAAGCGAAGAAGCCCGTTACCAAAGACCACAGATAATAAATAATACGTCTATGAAACAAGCAATCTCTAGGGACAGAAGCAAACCAGGTTATTTAGGACTGGGTGTGGAGTAGAATGAAAACGAAGAAGAGCCGGAGTTAAAGGACAGTTTCTTTCGGTACGTTGGCAATGTTTTATGTGGGGACTGCAATCCCAGCATTCTAGAGACAGAGGCCAAAAAAGAATGAACGAAAGGGAAAGGAAGAAAACGCCTAAAATGGACTATGACACAGTTTGCACACAACAGTCAATCACACTACAAACCAGTGACTGCATACTACAAACAGGAAGTGTAGGTATATAAACTACATCTCCAAGCTGTATCAACAGAAGAATTTGTCTTGAGCATACACATTAAGACGGACATAAATTTCACCACAGGACCACTGGCAGGGCTGCATCAGAGGGGAGCGCTCCAGACCCGGGGAAGCATATTAGATGTGTAAATTCCATCACTGGCAGCAAAAAGCAATGGTTACAGCTAATGTGTTAGTTAACAACCAAACGCCAGTGATTTTCCAAATAGAGATCATCTTGGAACATGCTACTCTATTCCAATAAACTTCAGTCCATCTCAACAAAGAAAAGGCAGCAGCAGCAGGAAGCACAGTTCCACAGGCTTCCCACAAGAGGGCAGCAACCTACCACCAAGTTTTAAATAGATGACACTGGAGAGATTTGCCATCAATGAAAAACCACCAAAGTCACCAAACACATCAAGAGTGGTCACAGCAATTAAAATATTTACTATTCTTTATGACTATGAAGGCCCTCTGGCTAACCACATACCTTCAGGAAAAAAATAACAAAAAAACAAAAACAAAAACAAACTAAGGAAATGACATAAACACTATATAACATTTTCAAACACAGCTTTGCATCACATACCAGGCACCAGCTCTGGCTGCTTTAAACATCTTAGAGGGAGCTTGCCTGAGCGCTAGAAATGTTCAACAGCTTTGGCTCTGCAAGTGGAACCTCTACAGCTATGACAAATAGCAAATAGACCATAGGGAGCAAAATTAGCCCTGTAGAGACACAGCAATCTAGAGTATTCTCTCCATGGTGAGTTCCTATACTCAGATCAGGTGCAAGGATACACATATTTTTAGTATGTTCTTGCCCATTTTGTAGGGTAGACAGGCAAAAAAAAAATGTTATGAGTAGACATACCATGTCAAGTAGCCAGTGTAACTAACCATGGCCTTCCCACTGTTCTTTCTTCCACTATGTAAGTTATTTTATATAGCTGTGAAATTAGTTTTTCAATACAAATGAAATCATAAGTAAGTCTGAAAACCGTCTCAGCACACTTAGAAAATGACCTCAATCTGCACTGCTCAGAAGTTCTTGTGTGGTCTGGCCCACTCACTTCTAGAACTTTGCTCCCATATGGGCTGACCATGTGCCTCATGTCTGGGATGTTCAGACCTATCTGCTCTGCCTCTGGTTGTCTCCTGATCCCTAGGTTCTCAGAGCACACTCAGTGTCTTAGACTCAATCCTCAACACTCAATCTCAAGTTGGACCCTTTCCCCTTACTGACAATCTCAAGCTGGACTCTACCTCACTCATTCCCACTAGGAAGCATCACTTATGCCCACTGCCTGCACAGCTGGTGTCCTGACCGACAGCCACTTACTTGCATTCAGTTTTTAGGTACCTGTCAGTCCTGCTAGGCTGTATATCCCATGATAGGGGAAACCAGATTCAATAAGCAGATTGAATCTGCTTGAACTGAACAGATGAACTGAGTGTTGTCTAGGCAAGCAGACTCTTAAGCTTTATGTCAGCATTGTTTAAAAACTTCATGCATTTTCAATACAGAAATAAATACACAGGAAAAGGCACTGGACGTGGTCCTTGCAGCACCCCACTGGAGGTCGCTGGCCAGTTATGAAGCCCTTCTACAGGGACCAGTGTCATGACCTGAGGCCTAGCTATAAAATTTCATCAATTATTAATCTCTCAGGGGAATGGCAGAATGATTCTTGAAAGGCAGCTGATTGGTGGGCAACCTCAATTTGGGGGTCAAACAAACTACTGCACAGTATAAATCCTACCTGACATGCCCACCATGCTAGAACCAAAGAATCTGGCTCCCAGCCCGGCACAATGATGCTGAGCCCTACCCTCAAGAAACAGTTATCTTCTGACCTATGCACCTGTGGTTGGAAAACCAGTGTCTGAAAAGGCCTTGATCTCTTTCTTGCACTAAACTCCATGCTTCCAAGGGACGGGGTAGGCATCCAAAGACGATCTGTGGGTGAGGTATTCCGAATGAACTTTCACCCTATTATTTAGACTCAAACTGAGTCTTCAGTGAAGCAAAGGTGAAGACAAAGAGGACTGTCTCCAAAAACCTAGAAACTTCCAAACCCCACGTGCTTTGCTGAGATCTGGGGTACCGAAAAGTCAGAAGGTAGCTGATTTGACAGGGGCTGCCCACTAGCATGAGGGCAAAGAATGGGAATGAACAGAGCTCAGTGAGCATCAATTTTGCAAGAAAGTGTTGTCCCAGGAGGCCAATCCTTCCACAGTTCACTGCATATTTAACTTAAAAGCTCTGTGTGAGATTCACGCACAAAAAGCTGGGAGAAACGGCCCAGTTTCTGCTGTTTACCTGTACACCATCTTAGTCTTTAGTCTACACAGTCAAATGTCATAGCCATTATTTTACATGAATTTTAAATGAGCTCATGTCCCAAGTTTTCTGAGCAATCGGATGTAAAAACAACTAAAGGCAGGAGCTTGTGAGAGCTGACAAGGCAGGACGACAAACCTAAAAGCATCCTGTGCACAATACCACAACCAGGGAGTCACTCAGCCCAGCCCAAAGCAGTGCAGTGCAACAGGTCGGCCATGACCACCAGGTCACTTCACACCTCAGCAAGCAGCACTCGAGTATCAAAAAATGAAAGATAGTGACCTATAATGGGAAGCATTCAGTGCTCTGGGAAGATTGTCAATGGGACTTTGTTCTGACACAGTATTTTATAAGGGATTTGTGGTCAAGAGTCCTGTGGAGAGCTGGGGCAATGGCAGCGCACGAGTTTAATCTTAGCACTCAGGAGGCAGAGGTAGGCGGATCTCTGTGAGTTCGAGGCAGTCTGGTCTACACATTGCGTTCCACGACAGGTCTACATATTGAGTTCCAGGACAGCCAAGGCTGTAACACAGAGAAAGAGAAACCCTGCTCGAAAAAATAACAAAAAACCTCCAAAAACCAAAAAAGAGCCCTCTGGAGCCATTGAGCACTTGAAATATGCCAATCGTATATGAAGATTTCCTTTATTTTAATGAATTTAAAGGAATTAATTTTTTTCTTAGTATTTAAGAACCATAATGAAACAGTCACATTTATCCTTACATAAAGCCAAATAAAAAGTAGTTCTCTTAGTGCACTGGGGGAGGGGGGGAGAGAGGGAGGATTCATACAATAGTAAAAGCATTTCAGAAGCGCCATCGCCCGCAAGCCCACCAGCTGTCACTCAATACAAGGCCTTTGAGTTCTGAGCCATCTAATACTCACACATTGTCTTCTAGGCAGATCTTGGGCCCCACGACATTGGCCGCTCCACTGGCCATTTTAAAAGCAAAATGCTTCTCAGGGCATGCTTTTGAGATTCCACATTTGTACCTGGGAGGCTTCGTAGCTTCGGAGAGAACAGAAATAGGTTTGAGATTCTTCAGAAAATCAATTAATAGGATTTTATAATCAGTTTGCTTGAGATCTCAAACAATACACACAAATATATATGTATATTAATATTAATTATATCATAAAGGAACACTTAGTTAGGGGCTACAGGGACAACTGAGTGATTAGGAGCACTGGCTGCTTTTCCAGAGGACCCAGCACCCACACAGTGGCTCACAATCATCTGTAACTGTAGTTCCAAGGGATCAGATGCCCTCTTCCAGACTCCTTGAGCACAACATATGTGGTACATACATATGAAAAAATAATTTAAAAAGAGCGATACACATATTTAAAAATAAATATAAAATTTTTACTCTTCTAGAACCACCCCCAAAAGAATATAAAAAAAAAAACAACAAGCAAGGAAGGGAGGCAGGCAAGTCCCCCAAAACAAAAAGTCATAAGAACACAACTCAGCCCTCGTGGAGAATGAGCCGACTACTGAGAGAAATGGACCAATCGTGCCATATGATCTTGCTGAGCGAGGCAGATCTGATTTAATTATTCCTGAAGTTATCTCTATACTTCTGGGTGCCTGGGGTTCTTTAATTGCTCCTTTGCATGTCTAGTGCATCAAAAACAGGATCAATAAAGTCTGGTCCTCCCATCCATCCAATACAAGGGGCAGCTGCCTCTCCTATCGGCTCTCACTGGCTGTGCTCACACCACAGGGCTGCAACCCAAGCACAAAGCCAACACCCACTGACGACGAGGCACCCGCGACACCGAGGCACCCGCGACACCAGGCCGTCCAATGAAACGGCCGCTGCAGTTTTCAAACTCGACTTCTCCCTCGGGGTTTGTTCACACAAACTGCCCACGCTGCTCGCACATAAGTTCTCCCAGGGCCACACACAGGATAAAGCACTTATAAGACACCAAGGCGAGGGACTTACAGCGAGTGGCTGAGTCCAGCGCAGATCGAGCTAAGAAGAGAAGTTAACATCGTTAGAAAGAAAGCACAGGCCCACTGGCAACTATCTACTGCAAACACAGTAAAGCGTCTAATGAGTCAAGGAACTGTGTGGTCGGACGACCGCTCACATACAGTAAGTACCAGGACTGCCCCAGAGAAGCAGGACCTCTCTACTAACTCATTATGGACAGGTATGTACTGAAATCACAGAGAGGGGTGTGTTATTACTCAAAGATCATTCTAAACTATTTATTTATTTATCTTTTTTTTGTTTTTTGGGTTTTTTTGGTGGAGAGGGGTGAGACAGGGTTTCTCTACGTAGTCCTGGCTGTCCTGGGACTCATACTGTAGACCAGGCTGGCCCTGAACTCACAGAGATCCACCTGCCTCTGCCTCCCCTGTGCTGGCATTAAATGTATGTGCCATCACCACCTGGTTCATTTTAAACTTCATATTTTGTTTAATTATTTAAATCCTACTCAGAAAGTTAGTCTGAAAACACACCTTTAAAAGACTACTAACTGGTACTGGTGAACAAAATGGTATTTAAATGCTATTGCTGCTGCTGCTGCTGCTGCTGCTGCTGAGCAGGGCTGGGCTGGGCACCCCCACAGTCCTGGAGAATGTGCATAAATCTATCTTGGGGTTTGGTGAGGATTTGGGCATACATGAAGAGGGGGAGGGGGAATGTTGGGGAAACCTGAATTCTCCACAACAGAAGTGTATAATAAGGGCCTAATAAAATTAATGCTGTTACTGAGAGTTTCTTATTTCATCAAGGAAGGGAAAAAGGTGAACTCATAACGCCCACAGTGGCTCTCCACTGTCCTCCATCACAACTACACTTAGTGCTCGGTAAATGCACCCGTGTCTGATCCGAGTCCAAGAGATTTTAGCACACATCATCCAAGTGCCATGGACAGCCGGTTTCTGATCTGGTTAATAAGTACACAGTGTGGTCGTTGTTGGCCAGCTGTCTGACTATAAATAGTCACTTAGTTTTCACTTCTGCACTGTTTTTGATAACTGCGAATTTCCTCTAAGTCCACTATTCAAATTATGGAACACAGAGTTGAAGCTGAAGAGAGAACCTAGATGTTTAAAGAGAGAGAGAACAAGTCAGCAGCCTCAGCACTCAATAGAACACTTGGTAGAATATTATACACCATGCAAGTCCCACAGCTATAATGTAGGGAAAGAGTCATGCATGGAATATAGTTAAAACAGCCTTCCCCCTCTCCAGAACCTAAATACAGAGATGATGCAAAGAGAGATCTGAACAAGCAAATAACGAAACAGGAAAAAAGAGGGGAGGGGAGGGAAGGAGAGAAGGGGAGAGGCCACAGATTCAGGCGCTGCGTTTTTCCTTAGTTCATTCTTTCCATTTCCTTGTGTAATTACAGAGATTTGATCCAATGCTTCCACTTTTTTAAATGGGAAAACTAAACCCCAGAGCAGAATCAGCAACATGAAGACTAGAAATTCTCAACTTGAGTCTGTCTTTAAAAAGCAAACAGACGGCCGGGCGGTGGTGGCGCACGCCTTTAATCTCAGCACTCGGGAGGCAGAGCCAGGCGGATCTCTGTGAGTTCGAGGCCAGCCTGGTCTCCAAAGCGAGTTCCAGGAAAGGCGCAAAGCTACACAGAGAAACCCTGTCTCGAAAAACCAAAAAAAAAAAAAAAAAAAAAAAAAAAAAGCAAACAGACAAGATAGTGCAGTGGGTAGGGACTTGACACCAAGCCAGGGGGTTCCCGAGGATCTCGATAGTACAAGGAGAGAACTGACTCTCACAGGCTGTTCTCTGATCTCCATTCATGTGCCATGGCACATGTGTACCTACACTCCTATACAAATACAGACACGCACGCACGCACACACACACGCACGCGCGCACATGCACACGCACAAATAAATGCAATTAAGAAAAAAAAATGAGTTGGGCAGTGTTGGTACACGCCCTGAATCCCAACACTCAGGAGACAGAGGCAGGAGGATCTCTGAGTATGAGACCAGCCTGGTCTACACAGCAAGTTCGAGGACAGCCAGGGATACACAGAGAAACCCTGTCTCAAAAACAAATAAACAAACAACAAAAAGCTTAATTAATTAATTAATTAAAGAAAAAGAAGACTGTATCATCAGACTCTGGTGTTAAGATTCCTAGAAAGCAACCCTGGTAAAATCAGGAACTTAGGTCTCCCTGACCTCTGTTGGCTGATTACACAGCAGGTTATCTGATCTATGGTAATGAAGTGGGGAGACAGTGGGAACAACACTCATTCCTACGTGCTAGCTGGGTCAAGTTAGTCTAGATAGTCACGGACAGGGTCATCATGTTTCAGAGACAAGGAAACTGAGGACAGAGCGTGTAACTGGTGTGTCTGTTTTGGGTCATAGTTGTAATTGGTGGAGCTAGCTTTTACTTTTTAGTTTATTTTTAATTTTTCATAACGTGTGTGTGTGTGTGTGTGTGTGTGTGTGTGTGTGTGTGTGTGTGTGTGGTTGTGTAGGTGTGTGGGTGCGCACGCGCATGTGCACCAAAGGACACTGTGCAGATCTCAAGGACAACTTACAGGACCAGTTCTCTCCTTCCCCATGTGGATCCCAGAGCCTGACCTGAAGCAGTCAGACTTGAAGGCGAGCATACTCACTTGTGGAACCATCTTCCCAGTCCAGAACCGGCTTTTAAAATCATCTCATGTAGCACTCAGGCCCACTGTGCCACTTCTGGTTTTTGTTGTTATTGGTTTTTGGTTTTTGGACACAGGTTTCTCTGTGTAATAGGCCGTCCTGGAACTCATTTTGTAGATCTGGCTGCCCATGAATTTAGAGAGATCCACCTGCCTCTGCCTCCTGAATGCCACCCACCACCACCGCCGCCGCCGCCGCCGCCACCACCACCACCACCACCCGGCCCACTGTACCACTTCTAAAGAGGGTCTTTGTAAGCACAAAATGCCAGTCATTCCCAGAGCGGAAAGCCAGGTTAGGGACCTTTTACAACAACTCTAACCAGAGGCTCAAGTCTGAGTCTATCAAGAAAGACCCTGCTGACATAATCTAGGTTTACAAGAAGAAGAAAAAAAAAAAAAAGCCAGTTCTGGGGGAGGAAACTCCGAGGTGTTCACTGGATTTTTTAAAAAGTAGACAGAGTCAGAGCTAAACACCACAGACAGGGTTTAGGCTCAGACGTGGGCCAATTGCAGGGACAATGCAGAGGAAGGAGTCGGGGCACTGGCTCGTCTCTAAAGTACCTGTGTTCTTCACACAAGGAGGACATCCAAACATTTTCTCTGCACTCAAAACCTTTATAACTATGTAAGGAGGGGTGTGGGTGGGTGCGTGCGTGCGTGCGTGCGTGGGTGCGCATGTGTGTGTGTGTGTGTGTGTGTGTACACACCAGTGATGGGCTCCACCCACCAGGTTTTACACCTGGTGAAGATCTAGGAGTAAGAATATGGAGGTCAGCTAGAAACGAGGCCTGGGAGTAAGACAAAAACTGGAATGTGAGCAAACTGATGAGACCATCCAGGGAGCACAGAATCCGAGGCCATCAACCTTCAAGAACTGACCAAGACAGAAGAAACTTGGAGTGATGAGCAGGAGAAGCAAAGGCTGGGTGACTTTATCACACAGGGCTGGAGAGCTGACTCAGGTCAAGAGCACTTGTTATTGTTGCAAAGGACCCAGGTTCAACTCCCAGCACCCACAAGGAGGCTCACCACCTCCGTGGGCACCACGTACAAATGAGGTTCACAGAAGTGCATGCAGGGCCAACACTCATCCATGTAAAAACAGTAAAAATAAAAAATGTAAAAAAACGATGTTAAAGATCAAATCAGTTTGTTAAATTTCACGTGTCAAACCTGTAACTGCTATTTAACTAAAGACACAGAAATCCGTTTGTTAGCCGTCAGGCTTTTGGGTAAATGTACCTCCACGGAACTTGTGTTAGCTGATGAGAGGCTTCGAGGTAAAGACACTCGCTGGAAGCACTTTTTACAAGGGAAGGTTATTTTTATCCAATACTCATCAAAACTGAAAGACTTCCCTGGGCCTGTTAACTCTGAGACTGTGAGGACCTGGCGGCAAGCCGATGAACCATTTCTCACTGACACAGGTTACTGCCAAAGCATCCTGCCCAAGCCCAAACTGGAAACACAACACTCCCTCCTCACTGCAGGTTTCACTTACTTGATAACCCTAATCATCAGTATCTTTCGGATAATACGTCAAGAAATGGACACAAACCTGTCTGATTCACCAGACTTCAGCGCATGTCCTTTAGTGAAGTCAGACTAGAGAATTTAGAACTACTTTATACCTGAGCTTTTCATACTATCCCAAGTAATCTATGCATATACTACTTACCAAAGGCTTAAGTATCCAAGGGTAAAAATAATCAAGCCCACGACACTCACCGCAGCAATATCTACAGAGATGACCTCACTGTGTTTAGGTTCTGCACTAGCTGAATGTCCTCGAGGAAAACTAATACTGCATGAAACCTCCGCCAGGAACGAGACTGGCAGACTGTGTGCAAGTCTACATCCTGCCCTGCCCATGACAGTTTACAGTTCCTAAGATGTTATTGATGGGTGGAACTAAGGCAAGGGTGTCCAGGGTCTCTGGGTATTATTTCTTGCAAACAGAGTGTGATTCTATAATTCCTTCACGATTAAATCTTGTTTAAAAAAAAAAAAGTGCCTCTGTGTGTTTGGGGTGGGGTATGCTGGGAATTGGAATCTAGGTGTGTTAAGCAAGCATCTAGCATTGTATCACTGGGCTACATCCCTATACCAAAATACTGTTTAGGGGATTAGGTTTTTTTAGTTGTTTTTCTTTGCGTTTTGTCTTTTAAATTTTATCTTATTCTTTTAAATCACAACCTATCTTGGTAACTTAAATTATTAACTGTGGGCAAATTTTCCATTCCTTCTATCTGGAAATGTCTGTTTTATTTTTCTAAAACAATATGATATAAAAAGCCTGAGTCAATGAGCCATGTTATCGCAACACTCAGGAAGCAGGGGCAAGTGGATCTCTGAGTTCAAGGCCAGCCTGGTCTATGGAGTGAGTTCCAGGACAGCCAGGACAAGACAGAAAACCCTGCCTCGAAAAACACACAAACAAGCCTGAGTCAAAACGATCCGTCCAGTGAGTGGCTCTCTGATTCTTGTGCCTTCTTCTGGGCTGTTTCCCTTCTCTTTGCTTATCCAACTTCGATGTGATGGATTTTCTTTTATCTTATTATCTCTTATTTTATCCTGTCTGGTTGTTATCTCTTAGAGGCCTGCTCTTTTCTAATGAGAGACAGAAAAGGGTGGATCTGGATGGGAGGGGTGACGGGGAGGAACTGGGAGGAGCAGAGGAAGGGGAAACGTAATCAGGATATATTGTATGAGAAAAGAATCTATTTTCAACGAACAGGGGGAAGGATCTGTTCAAGCTATTAAGTTATTACAAAAAAAGTTGAAAAACTCAACTACTGAATGAATTGTAGTTAATCATACAGGTAACTAGGGACCAGGTCCTCTATGGATTCAACCTGATAACCTTTGCTAAATTAAGTTGGATGCTACATAAATGGTTAAGAGAACTAACATATTCCAAACAAAAAATAAAACAAACCCCACAATTAATATTTTCACTTGTTCAATCTAGACTGGAATCCAATAAGTAACATTTTATAGATAAAATGCACTATAGTTTCAGGATGAAAACAAACACGTGCCCTAAACAGTGCCTAAACCAAACAGGTAAAATACATGCAATAAAAAGGTCCCTAGAACATGGAAGAGCAGAATGAGAATTAGGAGAGTCATATGTTCCAGTTAAAGTAGTCAACATGGGCTCATACTGGAAAGGCAGAATCTCATGCCATATCCCAGACACTGAGACATTAAGATTCTCTGAAGAGTATTTTGACATGAACAGTTGAGTACTGGTGTGTAGGATGATCTCGGGTTGATAGAGAGGACGTGAATTAAGTGTTAGGAGTCCCTTCTAAGTATTAACTTATGGAGAGGAAAACTCACTAAGTCAAAGCCCTCAGCACACTTTTGTTTAATTCTGCCGACTAGAACAAGATGCTTCCAGGATTCAGTCTCTTTCCACACTTGGTGTGCAGCCAAAGCTCACCCCCACATGAGCACAGGGACCCAGAAAAACAAACAACCTCCTCTGGTTTCCAGCAACAGTTGATTGCCTCCAGAAGAGATCCGGTATTAATTTTATATAGTGTGAGATAAATACAATCATTTCCATGTCAATATATGAACCTTAAGTTCTATTCTTCATCCTCCTAATAATGTACTTAAGGTCACGGGTGTAGGTCAGTGGTATAAGCACTTGCCTAGCATCCACAAAGCCCTGGGTTTGACTACAGTGCCTCAAAAGAGAGAGCAATTGTAGGGTGGGCACTGTGGTGGTGCACACCTGTAATCCTTGCACTTGGGGAGTAGGGTGAGGCAGGAGAATCACAAGCTGAGGACAACCCAGGCCGCACAGTGAATCTGAAACAGCCTGCAGTACCACAGGAAAGTCATAGTACACTTCTGGAATAGAAACATCTGGAAATCAGTAAGATGTAGAACTATCTAAATAAGCATTAAACATAACTGGTTCCATTTTATTAACAGGGGTTTTGTTTAAAACTGAGTTAAGAATGCAGCCCAATGGTAGAGCACTGGCCTAGCATGTGCAGGGCACTAGGATGGACCCCTAGCACTGAAAAATGTAATCTGTGTCAAAGTACTTAATACAGGTACAGTTACAACATAAAAACACCAAATAATGGGCAAAAATAAAAATCGCAGAGAAAAGGAAAAGAATGTTAAAGACCAACACGTGCAACACATTTCTCTGACTGTTTTTACAAACTAGATCTGGGTCCATTTTCTAGCAGCCAATCAAATGAAGAAACAATTTAAACATACCAGTGTTGTGTTTTCCAGAGTGAGCACTTAAGAGCCATGATTAATGTTTCTCATCACCGTGTAGTAAACAGTTGCTAAATATGCTTAAAATGTCAAACAGAAAATCGATTGCTTCACACTGGCTTTATTCTTAGACGTGTTATATTTTTCAGAATATGGTAATGAATGACATTTACTCACATAATAATTATTTTTCTAGACATACAAAGCAGCAGTGAACCCATGATGAGAACTTACACTTTGGAGAGTAATATTAAGAATAAGATTCTGGGGCTGGGGAGCTAGCTTGGCAGTAAAGAGCACTGGCTGCCCTTCCAGACCACCCAGGTTCTATTCTCAGCACCCAAAGATGTTCACAACTGTCTGTAACTCCAGCTCCAGGGAATCCGATGCCCTCTTCTGGCCTCTGAGGGCACCAGGCATGTACAAAGTGGACAGACACACATGCAGGCAAAATACCCATACACATAAAATAACAAAATAAAAATTTCTTAAAAGAATAAAATTCTTCTACAGTAGGTGGCAGCTAATTCAAGAAACTCCTAACTAGTCAAAGTGCTATAAGAATATGTGACTGCTAAGTGTTCAGCCCTATACAGGACTTGTGTACCGCCCTCTCTAAAGCTCAGAGAACATCCTGCAAGAGGGAGCAGAAAGTGGGGGGGGGGGGGGGGCTGAAAAGTACCGTTTCCTAGACAACATAGCTGTAGCACTTAAGACATCCCATCAGCTGTGATATGGGCACAAGACTGTACCAGTCAGCATTCCATCGTGGATGAGGAGGAGACTGGGAGGTATCCCTCCTCCCTGAGGAGCCACTGGAGTTTCACTGCTACAGTGGGAAGGAAAGCCATTTTCTTCAGTGGTGTAGCCACCGGCAAGGTGCCCAGGCTAACTCATGCTCATGTGAGCAAGCCTAAACTGAATGGGTTACCAAAAAAAAAAAGAAAATGACATGAAACTCAAAGGTGGATGTGCAATCAATGGGAGTAGTCGTGGGAGGGAGATAAAAGTGTTATAAAGTGGGGGAGGGGGTGAAACTTACCAAATAGATTTCCTAAGCTTGCATCCATTTTAATTTCAAATACTTGAGAAATAACATAAAATGTCAATACAAATACTGCGACAGCCACCACCAACTTTGCAGCTCCTAGAAAAAAGGCAGAAGCAACTCAGCATGGTTTTATAAGCCAACAGAATTTCTGCCACGCAAACTCGGCGTTTCTGCAGAAGCATTATGACTAATGTAGTTCTATGTTGTAATCTACTAGATCTTAATGTTACTGGAGTTACAAGGACTGCATGCTACCCGCAATCACAGAACTCGCAGACACACCATGAGACACCTGTCTAGGGTAACTCGGGGAGGTGGTTTACCTACCATCAGCTGCTGGCTGACTACAGGTGATCTGATGAGTGCACTACCACCACCATGCCTACAGGACTACATACTTCCCAATCCTAAAGAGCAATGCCCTCCGACGATAATACAAAACTAGTTCTGGAGATGCCTAGGCCAGGACATCCAAGAAATGAGGTGAAGTGAAATGCAGCAAGCTTACTAGCCGACCACCAACCCACCGCCTGGAGCTACCTAACCCCACGGGGAACTGCAAACATGACCTTCTGCCTTACAAGAGGAAGAAGGTAAAGACATGGCTTCACATCTGGAGGACAGGCTTGGATATCACAGTGACGGGCTATGTGATGAGCTCCATGAGGGCACACTCCTCAACTTTAGACTTTGTATCTTTATGGTGTCAGAGTACCTTACAATAGCCATCACTGCCACATCTACTTAGTGTGAATCATCCCTTACTCTTTCTCCTAGGTACCCCAATCTAGGCAGCAAATCACAAAGGGCAAGCGTAAGACAGGGAATGGAACAATGGCAGACCAACAGCTTCCACCTCTGGATTTCAGAGACATGACCTGCTTATTCGGAAACAGTACTAGCTTATTTATGTCTACACAACCTCAACTGCCTGCTCCTACTAATAGTTCGGGTTTAGTTCAGGTTTAATCTCAACTGATAGGAAAGAGGTTGACAGAATCAGCAGCCATCTAACCTTAAAGGGAAAAAAAAAATCCCAAAGATGAAGTAACGCTCTATGATTACAGATAAATCCGTGGCTGCACATGAACCAGAACTCAAGCCTACCCCCAAAACACCAAGTAGCCTGTACAGTACATCATTCTAACACTAAATTACATATTTTTGGTAGGGGGGACCTCAATATAGTAGGTAAGGAAGAATTTAAAAAAAAAAAAAAGATCATCTAATCTCATAGACCCAAAAGAATAGTCTGTACCTTCAGAGGAGAGGGGAAGGACCAGGAAGAAACTGAAGATGTTTGGAAAGGCCGATGATGCTAAAGGGCACCCACATCCAGGGCTGCCTCAGTACTATTTAGAGATGCTCTATTCATAGGTATATGTGAGGACATACAAGAAAAATCTCTGCACCTTCCTTCCAATTTGGCTGGGAATCTAAAACTGCTCTAAAAAACAAAGCCTTAAAGATTCTATTAATACAAGAATACAGTGGTAATCAGCCCATCTCACCCTATCTCCTCACTTCTTCCTTCCAAAGGTTGCTTCCGAGTCCTTAGAGCAACTACTACTAGCTACCTTCATTGTTAGCATGTAAGAGCAAAATTTCATTTGCTTTGGACCTCCTCCTCCCAGGATCTAGCTGAGTGTCTCATACAAAGCATGCTCTCACCACATATGTGCTCGATAGATGAATGACAGCAGGTGGCAGACACTGTTTTCATTACGTAAGACTGAGGCCAGTGGCATGAAGGTGACAGATCGCATGCTACTCTTCTATTTTATTTTCTAGCAGTCATGGGCATGTACAACAGGGGATAAGTCCTCACTGTCTTCTAAAACAGACAGATGAGGCTTGCGCTGTTCAAGGCTGAACTTGCACAGGGGCACACCAGTGGTAGCACAGGGTCTTCTCTTTCTTAAGATTTACGTAATTTGTGTATCAGTGGTTTTGCCTGCACGTACGCCCGTGAACGTGTATGCCCAGTGCCCATGGAAGTCAGAAGACAGTGTCAGATACCCTGAACTAGTTACAGATGGCTGAGTCACTGTGTGGGTGCTGGGAACTGAGCCCGGATCCTGTGCAGCAAGAGCATCATGGAGTTCTCTTTCCCTCTGGCCCATCTCTCCAGTCCCAGCACTGGGTCTTAACCCAGGACCTGTTCCCTGACACTGGTCTGGAACAAGGAAGCAAACAGATGCTCCGAGACAGAAAAGTCAGCAGCAGAGACACTCGCAGTCTCTACAGTGGGAGCGTCCAGGAGCTTGCTACAGAATATGGTCTCAAGGGTTGGACCCGAAGCCCTGTGCCAGCCTGGAGGGGCTTACCACATCACACCACAACTCCCATTCCTGACGTGGTGTGCCATTCCCTCTTCCTTCTAGCCACTGACCAAAGATCATTACATTTCAGGCTAAGTGAGCATTTCAAAGCAACCAGATACTATTTTAATTTAGAAGATATTAATTAGTTCAAAGCAGTGAACTAATAACTCATCTTCCTTATTTGTCCATTAAAGACAGGGCCCCCAAGTCCTATGCCAAGAAAAGGATGAATGTAAAAACTAGGTGATGGAGTTATTTTACTGAAGATGAATTTAGAATTATGTGCAAAACAAGAACTGCTCTGGTCACCCCGCTTCAACAGCGTACTTAGAAATCCTCAGGAGACCACAATTATAAACCGTCCTGCTGAACCCCAGAACATCCAGGAAGAAAAGGCAGCAGAGCAAACAAGAGGCCCACGTGGTCTAAAACAAGCAAGCTCTTGGTTCCTGGAGTCAGTCCTCTTCCTCCACAAGTGTCTAACTACTTAGAAATAAATGATGCTGTGACTTCCCAGCCAGGAGAGGCCAACTTTTCAGATTTCTACAAAAGCATCTGTAGCAGCCGTCCGTTAACTTGGTTTTAGAAACCACGGTGTCTGATCAACTCAGCTTGACTCCATACAACTATAAGCAAACTAAGGAGAGGGTCTTTTGTCCACCTGCCTCGGCCTCTGGCATCTCTGAGAGATGACCCTATGAAAACACTTGGTTTGCTTGTAAGACAATGACAATGAAGAATTAGACTAATTATCTTGATTTCAGAGAACAGCCTGTTTTCTCCCGTCACACAGATTTAAGCAGAATTCCTCAGGCAATGTGCCTTTGGGGGTGGGGAGGTTGTGGCTGGAGGGTGCATAGCAGAAACACATTTATTTTCACCTCCAGGTAGGGAAAGGCCCACTGGGTGTTTATGGATCTACCCTTTAAAGATGCTTATCAATGCCTTTATTAATATCAGGGACATCTAGCAAGGACTTTCAATGTATATGACACACTACTTCAGATTGCTGTTAATGTTCTAGGTTTATACCTAGACTAATAATTCAAAGCAAAACCATACTTTAGTAAATTCTTCATGTATGTTATACTGAACTGCACATAGGAGAGAGTTCTATTTTAGAATTCCTTTTTCTAGACGGCTAGAACTTAGCAAGAAAAAGTCAGTCTCTTTGCATTTTCAAAATCTTTCTTTGAGTATTTTATATGTACTATTTGGGCAAATAAGCTTACCACATAAGAAATAAACATTAATATTTAGAATAATTTCAGTTAAAGGTTCACCTACAAAAACGCATGTAATATGTACTAATGTCCAAGTTGAGACATGTTAATGACATAAAACGGAAAGGCTAAGCATGATCTCATTGACTAGTACTTAACTTTCAGAAACATTAGAAGTATGTGGCCCCTGTATATAACCTCTGAGGCAGGAAGACAGCATGAACCAGCATAGACGAGGAAGCAGGACCCACCACAAAAGGGGGTTGGGGGGAGGAGGAGAAGGAGGAGCATGAAGAATCAATGAATTATGAACCCTCTCCTTTAGTCATTACTGAGCAAACAGGCTATAAAATAAATTATAAAATAAAAATCACTTTCACTGGATTAAATAAATGTCTTACCTGCTACCCTCATTTTCGCTTTTTCAATCTATGGCACTTCTCAGAAATAAGGTCCTAAAATCAAAAGAAAAGGCAAACACCATGAATTATACAATGAGTCTTCCTCCTCAGATTGAGCTTATTTTAGAAGGCATGCATAAAACCAATTAGGTATATACCATGACATTTCTAAGTATGCTATGAACTGCAATGTTTAACGAAAAAACTCTTTATCACTGGCCACTCCTTCCACTGGGCCATTAAAAAAAAAAAGTCAAAAGAAGCTGCTTGCGTGTGTCTCCTCCCACTGGCTGTGTCCACTGAGCCCACCATACCCCGCGCCTGAGGAGGACAGATATTACCCTCAGTGATTACACACTCATGAGGAGCTCACACATTCAGATTCAAACACTGGTTAGCACATCACGTCAGTCGTCAGTAAGTAACAGAAAACCTTGTGGAGAAATGGGGTTTAGCTAGGCCGGTTCATGCCAACACAGGAAGCTACTTCATTTTCCATGACATAACTCAGATATCACTGTTGTGAGCACTCCCGACTAATGCTGGATTTAATACTAGATCCATTTCATGCTTTTCAATTGCCATAGGCAAAATAACGTATCTAGAGGTTTAGAATTATAATTTTAAGGACTCCAGCAATTATCATTACTGACAGAATGGTATATATCAAACAAACTATTCTTTGACATTATTTTACTAACTGGCAACAAATGCTTAAAAAAAAAAAAATCCATATATGTGTGTGGTTTTCCTGCCTACAAAACAACTCAAAAAGGAACTGTAAAACAACTCAAGCCGGGCGGTGGTGGCGCACGCCTTTAATCCCAGCACTCGAGAGGCAGAGCCAGGCGGATCTCTGTGAGTTCGAGGCCAGCCTGGTCTCCAAAGCGAGTTCTAGGAAAGGCGCAAAGCTACACAGAGAAACCCTGTCTCGAAAAACAAAAACAAAAACAAACAAACAAACAACTTAAAATGGAACTGTAAATAAGACTTAATGCCAAAGCCACACCCACATTCAGCTGGACAGCTGCTTCAGTCAACGTAAAGGAGAGAATTCAAAAGGTGAGTTTCACGTGATGGATCCTACTGATCAGAAATATATCATTTCTCCGATCTCCTGAACATGCACCGTGGCACACAGGTCCCCAGACACAAGCACGCATACACTCAAGCATGCACACACAGCACATACATGAGCATGCATACCCCCACACAAGCAAGTACACACATACTAATACTTCACAGAGCACCCAAAAGACAAACAAGCAAACAAACAAAAAAAGACCTTTCCCCAAAGGACACTGCAAAAAAAAAAAAAAAAAAAAAAAAAAAAAAAAAATATCCAGTTTTCTTGTTCATTGGAAAAAGCAACAGGATGAGGACCCAGCATGGCTCCCCATCCCCCATGTCTTCCACTGGCTCCCTTTCTTCTGCAAAATCTAACCTGGTTAAAAAACAAACAAAACCTTCAATCAACACTTAACTGAGTTGTCCACTCATGGGATTTTTTTCCTTTGTTATCTATGTGAACACCTTCTATATAATAGCCAAAGTCAATGCTATCTATCTATTTAAACGCCTTAGCCACCAGCCAGAATTCTAGAAGGAAAGAAGAGATACGGACTTTATATAAAAGAGGGAAGGGGGGGGGGCGGTAGGCCCTTGGCTTCTCAAAAGAGAACTCCGACAGGTCATAAATCCTCTTTCGGCTTCCAGTGAAATTGAACTCTGCATTCACAACACACACATGGCCTTTCCTTCCCTTTCATATGCCAAAATAATTTCACTCCTATCTGAGTGTGGCCCAGGAAAATTTCTTTGAAAATGTGATAAGCAGTTGGGTACCAGATGCCTGCTGTTCTATTTCAGTTTCTATTGCGGAAGGGTGGGGGGGGGGACCACACCTGTATAATTACAGTCACCAGTCGCCTGCTTGCTCTTCCCAACAATTCCGCTTCTGAACTCATCACAGGCCGCTCTGTAAGCAACTACATTTGTGAATACAATTGTTTTCCATTAAAATATCTTAGGGAATTAACATTTAGGAAAATTTCTATATTAAAATCTCACCAAAGTGCCTCAGTCATTAACACATCTTTAATTAATTTCCTTAATTAACTTTCTTGCATCTTTAATGATGCAAAAGTGTAAATCCGAGGAACAGGAGTATTGAAATAGATTGCAGGGCAGAGTATGGTGAGCGTTTATGATGTGCTAATTCCAAACCAAGCCTGGCTGTTTAGAGAGCGTTTGAAGACTTTTTACAATCTGAGCAGTGGAAGAAACAGCTCCTGAAGACTTCAGGGAACCAGAGAGAGACAGGTCCAGAGACAATGAACAGAACACTGAAAGAATAAAAAGGCCTCAGCTGAAAACTCAGAATGCTAATCTCCGTACTCCAGATACAGAAATGAGAACCAGTTGCCAAAACCAGAATATTAGTAATTAAGAATCTCCTTAGAACAGATAAACATGTAAATATTCAAAACAGGATACTTAAGAAATTCATGACTCCAAAAGTGTAAGGATAGACCAAACCAAGTTTCAGCGTGTTAGGTAGATAAGGGTGCAATGTCAGCTCCAAGATAAGGAAGCAGGGAGGCCACACTGCCCTCTAGGCAAAGGAACACTGACCTAAAGGTCACTCAGTCTGTGACCCAGAGTAAAGGAGAGGGCCTGGAGCAGGGCCTCAGAGGGACCACCCCACTTATCTGGATGCTTTAAACATTTCCTTTAACCCAACTACACAGTTTTGTCCAACTTAATAAAATTTTGTTGCTCAAAAATTGGGCTGCTCTGTGACTATGGAAGGCCTGTCAGGAAGTCACTAAAATAAGGACCAATGGTAACAAAAGCAGGTCAAATGGCACTCCCATTCCTTCCTGGAGAAATGAAGTCTAAATTACAACACTGTCCTGTATGAAAGAAACAGGCCATAAAAACAACTACCAGGAAGCGCTGTCTTTCCCGGTTATCTTCCCAGCAGCTCTCTAGCTCCTGACTACTGTGATGGCCTTACAGAGGGGCAGAGGGGTTTGCCCATAGTCCTGAGAAGAGTAGGGGGAACGCTCACAAACAAACCCCGTTCCATTTCTCCCCCTGAACGCTGATGCACTAAAGTATAAGAGCTTGTGGACAAATACCATGTCAATCAATTTGGCTTTTGCAAATTGCTCTGGGTATTGCGAATCTCTGCTGCAAACTAGCCACTCCAGAGATCTGACAGTTTGTCAAACTGACTTAAGTTTGAGTGTTGGAAACCCCACTACCACCTCAAGACAAAAATGATCCAAGAAAATGTGCATGCAAATAAATACAGTAGCAAAATACTAAAAATAAAATTAATCCAGCCCAAAGAAAATATTGTGAATTGAATTTCACAAAACAGAGAACCACTATTCACTTTAATCCAACGTGCAGTCAGTGCTGGCCAGATAACCATTTTAACCAAACCAACTATATTCAGATGGTCCCAATGTTTAAGTGGGCTGGGAGTTTTCTTTTGTTATATATATTTTTATAGTATGTGTATGGATGTTCTGCATGTGTCTGAGCACCATGCGCACGCGGTGCCCACAGATGACAGAGTTCAGAAGAGGGAGTCAGGTAAGTAAGGATTATGTCCTTAATTGTGTCACCAGCCTGCGATGGCGTCCCAGCCTAAAAAGTGTGCCCTCTGTGCATTCTCTTCTCTTTCCGCTCTCTCTCCTTCTGTCTGTCTCCTCTCTCTCTCTCTCTCTCTCTCTCTCTCTCTCTCTCTCTCTCTCTCTCTCTCTCTCTCTCTCTTCCTCTCTCCCAATAAAGCTCTAAAGAGGTAACTATGGCTCGTGAGTCTTCTGTGACCCACAGCATCCATCAGCATGGCCGCCGCAGGCGGTGGCCAGCCACAAGCGCCGGTGCATAACCAACAAGGTCCCCTGGAACAAGGGTCACAGGAGACTGTGAGCCGCCTGTGGTTGCTGGGGTGTGAACCCAGTTCCTCTGTTAAGAACAAGTACTCTTAACCCTGAAGCTATCTTTGCAGCCCCCAGGGAGCTGGAGCTTTTCAAGAGACTTACATAAAAACATGTCGAGCTGCAAAACAATAGATAGAGACTACACTCAAGCCCTGTTTGTGACGGTGAACTTCACGTGTTAACCTGACAGGGCTGCAGGCTGCCTATGAGTAAACACCATTCAGGGTGTGCACGGAAGGACCTTCCCGGACAAGCAGCATCTGAATCTAGAAGAAAGGATGCCTAGTGCTTTCCTCAATGGGGCTCCAATCCAGCCCTAACAACATGGGTGCTGATATCTCCTCATACATGTGAGCTTCCATCCTTGGTTCCTGGCCCCAAACTCCATCCCACAAGGCAGGATGCAAAAATTATCTAGTTATCCATTAGTCGAGACTATAGGATGTAAGAATCATATAGTTATCTGTTAGTCTAGACTACAATTTCTCTTCCCCCTTGCAAGAGATAGAAACCTAATCTACCTTTCTGTGTTGATGCTAACCACAAATAACCTTTCTGCGCAGTTTTGTCTGACAGATCACAAGATCCTCCACGGTCCTAAGGACCGCTGCAGAGGCCAAGATAAATAGGTGGGGTTCCCCACTCAGTCTACTGGCATTAGTTCATTTCCTTTTTTGTCCAACCACATTTCAACACAGCTGCCCATGCTTCAGTCATGCCTATGTAATGAAGTCTCACAAAACCCCACAGGACAGGGCTCAGAGGCTTTCCCAGGACAGAATGCTGGGGCTCCTGGGGAGTGGTACACCAAAAGAGTGTGAGGAACTCTGTCCCCGCTTCCCACACCATCTCTGCATCTGTCCACCAGTGATGTCTATACTAGCCTACAATGCAGTGAATTGTATACGTTGCATATAAACCACTCAAATTACTTGAGCCTCAGGAAGGGATTGTATAGGGACCCGTTTATAACTGGTCCAGCAGACCCGTATGTAAAAAAGCAGTCTGGACTTGTAATTGGCATCTAGAGTGGGAGAGGTAGTCTAGAGACTGAACCCCTTAACCCATGAGTCCTGACAGTGTCTCCAAGTAAATCAGAGGACACCCACCTGTAATCTGATGCAAAACGTATTTGTTTTCTGGTTGGGAGAGCTTCCATCACCTTTTGAGACACATCTTTATCCTGGTATCTCAGCAGAGGAAGAAACACTGGCTTTTCTAATAGGGAGACTCTGCTCTCTGCCTGTCTTCAGGCTGGGAGAGTGGTGCACAGCCACGCTGCGCACAGCCACGCTACGCCATCAGCTCTGCTGGACCACTAACAATGTGCCAATGAAAAACCTGGACCGCTCAGCCTCTGGAACTGTATGCGTCCATTTCTTCCAATAAACTGCAACATATGTATAATAAATCATGTAGCTACAGAAATGCATATAGTTTATTACAAAGAACCTTTCTCTCTCTCTCCACACACACACACACACACACACACACACACACACACACACACACACACACACACGCAAATGTCCATATCTATAATCTACACATCATTTATTTTTTTAGGCATACTTGGGCTGATAAAAGCATTGTCACAATTAGGAGTTAAAAACTAAATTTTCATCCTCTGAGCAGAGGAGGCCCCTTCAAATGCAAACACAGCAGAGGTAGCAGAGTCTGGACTTGGTCCTGCTTCAACCCACTGCTGGAGACAGAAAGACACAGACAGAAGTGGTTACTCACTTCTGTTTCCCTGATAAATCCCATGATAAATCATGCTCACAGGAAGAAGGTGACAGCGCTCTCCTTTATGTGGGTGCTGATGTGGGATCATTTTGGTGACAGACTTTTAAAAAGTACAGGTACCTTTGCATCTGATGCTTGACCAACTTTTATAATTTAGCTCTTAGATACATTTCCAGGGCTGGGGAGATGGTTCAGCACACAAGGCACTTGCTACACAGTCAAGAGGGCAGGAGTCTGGATCCCCAGAACCCACTGAATGCCAGATGGGTCTCTGCCAGGCCAGACAAATTTTTGAAACAGAACAAACAAAAAAGGCAGGTAGGAAGACTGTACTCATTGGGAAGGAATATTAACATTCAAAAATCCAGTATGAGCCAGGTGTGGTGGCGCACACTTTTAATCCCAGTACCTGAGAGGCAGAGGAAGGCAGATCTCTGAATTCAAGGCCAGCCTGGCCTACAGAGTGAGTTCCAGGACAGCCAGAGCTACAGGGGTGGGGGTGGGGGGCTGTAAACAAACAAATAATGAAGCAAAAATTTAAAAAATAATCCAGTGTGAGGACTGGGCTCATGAGCAGAGTCAGCGGAGTGTCTGCCTACCATGCACGAAGACCTGGGTCTGATCCCCAAGCACCATAGAAACTAGATGTCGTAATGCATGCCTGCAACCTCAGCATTTAGGAGGCAGAGATGCTGTGGTGTGTAGTTGAATATTTTAAGGTGTGTTACTTTTGTTTATGTTTCATTTGTTTAACTGTGAAGCTGTGTTACTGTGCTTGTCTAAAACACCTGATGAACTAATAAAGAACTGGCCAATAGCAAGGCAGGAGAAAGGGTAGGCGGGGCTGGCAGGCAGAGAGAATATATATATAGAGAGGGAGAAATCTGGAAAGGGAGATAGAGAAGGAGCCAGAGAAAGGGCGGACATCAGGGGCCAGCCACCCAACAACACAACTAGCAAGCCACGGAATAAGAGTAAGATTTATGGAAGTAAGAGAACAGGAAAAGCCCAGACGCAAAAGATAGATGGGATAATTGAAGACAAGGAAAGCTGGCAAGAAACCAGCCAAGCTAAGGCAGGGCAGTTAAAATTAAGTAAGTATAAGTCTCCGTGTGTGAATTTACTTGGGAGCTGGGGGAGGGTGCAAAAAAGAGCAAAAGCACACAACAACAGTGGTGGTCTGAGTAAGACGGGCCCCCACAGGCTCCTACATTTGAATGTCCAGTCATCAGGGAGTGACACTATGTAAGAAGGATTAGGAGGTCTGGTTGGAGGAAGTGTGTCACTGGAGGTAGGCTCTGAGGTTTCAAAAGCCTATGCTGGGCCCAGACTCTCTCCATCTGAGGATCAGGATGTAGTCCTTGGCCACTGCTCCAGCGCCATCGTGTGCTGCTGCGCTCCACCATGATGACAAGGAACTAAGCTTCCGCAACTGTAAGAAAGCCCCCAATTCAATGCTTTCTTAGTAAGAGTTGTCTGGATCATGGTGTCTCTTCACAGCAACAGGACAGTGACTAAGACAGATGGGAAGATCAAATTTCAAGACCACCCCTTGCTACGAAATGAGCTGGGGGCCAGCGAGGCTACCTGAAACTCTGTTCAAAACACACATGCAAAGGCCTGGCATTGGCTCCCCCGACCCAGCCTGCACTCCAAAACGAGAACAGTAACTCAGTATGCAGCATACACTGTTATACCTGATATTGTGAATTTAATAGACAGATTTTAACATCAAGTGATTTTAGAGATTTCAACACTGAGTACTTAATAGAAATATTAACCTGAAAAAGGGTTTAATATTGGCAGGACATTTTGGTACGGAATCCTACAAGACACTTGTTTTTAAAAAATAATCTATACAGAGTGAGAGAGCAAGAGAATGGGGCAGAGGGTGGAATTCAAAAGACAAGTATGGTGCACATACCTGTAAATCCTTGCACGTAGGAGGTAAATGAAAGGGAGCAAAGAGTTCAAAGTCATCCTTGCTCAGACAGGGAGTTCAAGGGCAGAATGGACTACATGGGACTCTATCCCCAAATACAAAACAAAACCTTACAAAAGGAACATGAAAGTTATTGAAAAGAAAAAAAAAATTAATGGTTACCTAACAATTAAAAAGTCTTACAAGTTTTTAAGGAAACAACCTAATGTCATATTCTAAGTAGAGGGGGAAAAAATAAACATAACAGTAAAGAAAAAATTCTACTTCTGCCAAGTGGTATTCCTAATGGGAGAATACAAAGCCACAGACCAAAACCTTAAATAATGAGTCAGTGGAGTAATTCTTTCAGAATACTGTTCTAGTGAAACATCTTGGGAAGAATGGGATGCAAATGATCTATGCCTAGCCGCCATTGTTTGAGACAGAACTTCAACACCTTGCTCGCCCTGCCTCAGTCTCCAATCTCTAGAACTCTGGGATTACTTGCCTGTGTCACCATCCCTGTCCTGTCTCTGAATTTCTCAGTTATCTGAATCAACATCTTCCGGCTTTTCTTGTTTATCTTCGGTAGCACAAAATGGAAATCCATTTAAAGGAGGCTTAACATCGAAATGTGGGAAGTGGAAACACAAGTCCAGAGTGTTCTTCCTTCCCCCAGACTGTTAGTCAATGAAATGTAGATGAGGCAAAATAGGATTGCTCTGGAGAGACTTCACTGTCTTCCTCAGCCCACAGAAACTGTCCTTAGACCTGCTTCTCAGCTGCTCTTCCTGGCTGGCAACAGGGGAGAACACTTCAGACACCCGTCATCTGATCCACAGCAGCCTGGACTGAGCTCCATTCTCCTACACGGGCAAACACAGCTCTAACACCCACCGTCTCTACTTAAAAACAGGTTAGAGAAGGGGCCTGGCCTAGGCCAACCTTGCCCCGAAGACTTAACAGAACAACAGGTCTGATGGACATTCTGAGAGCAGTGTTGTAACACCAGACAGCTGTGTTAGCAACTGCATGGCAGAACTCTGCAGACTATAGAAATCAGAAAGAGACCTACAGTTCTTTCTGCCTCTCCAGACACGTGAGCTAGCTGATGGCTGAAACAGGCCAGTTGATCCACATGCATTTAACCATATTTTCCAACAAAACCCTTAAGGGATTAAAAAGAAAATAAAAAGAGAATTCTTCCCCCAACCTAATAATATAGCTAAGCAACTTTCCTCATCGATGAAGGAAGCTCACACGCAGGCAGGGCTATTCTCCACTGACTTCCCAGTAGTACAGAAAGAGACGGGTTCTCACCCACAGACACTCCATCAGGGTCCCACATACCACCAGAGCTCTTTATTTTCTGAGCTGACAGCCAGAGCTCAGGTCTCTTCGGACACAGATGGGTTAACCTTATTACCACGACATCTGAAAACCATTCTGCAGAGGAGGGTACATGGTGAGTGCAGGCAGAGTGTCAATAAGCAGGAGTTACGGAGGGCCACTAACTAAAAAGGACTGACGAAAAGCTACAGGTCAAATGGACCTGCCACACCTCCTGTAAATGCTACATGAAGTAATTACTTCAGTGTACTACAAGACTTTCTAGTCAGCCACTAATGCACACACGAACGGAAATGAGTAGCCAGGCCTGAGTGCCCGACATCTCAAGACACACCTGAGGTACACTTCGGCCACCAGTACAATCTTCATTACAAACAGATGTCAGGCAAGGACATCGTTCATCAGCTCTTACCAATATTTCACATGGTTGAATATCTGAAGAAATATTAATAGAATTATTCTACACGTGTGGTACTTACGTGTGTGCATGCTTGTGCGGGTCTATGCAGTGTGGGAGGAGGGTATGGATGCACGTGTGTGTGACAACAGACATCACTGTCAAGTGTCTTCAGTTACTCTCTCTGTGGTCTCTTATTGAAACTCGATACTCATTAGGCTAGGGTGACCAACCAGGGCCCCCCCCCATCCCCTGACAAGCACTTTCCAGACTGAGAGATCTCCCCAACTCCAATATAACTGTTTTTATCTTACATCCTAACCCTCACAATAGCCCTTTAACATCATAAGAGAAGCCCTAAAACCCTAGACACCTAAAAACCTTTATTATGAATTTTAAGAAACACACTGCCTTTCCCATTAACCGTCTACATGGAGAGAGTTCCCAACACACTTTTCTTGGTAGAACAGTACCCAATGTTCGGTGACACATCCTATCAAGTTCTCTTAAGGCCTCTCCAAAGTGTTGCCCACACCAGGGAGGCCAGAAGCACTAGTGTGCCTTTTAACAGGCATATTTCTGTGCTCCTGCAGACCTGCAGGCTCAGAATCCTCCGAGTGGGCATTAAAATCCTGCATGCTAGCCGGGCGGTGGTGGCGCATGCCTTTAATCCCAGCACTCGGGAGGCAGAGGCAGGCGGATCTCTGTGAGTTCGAGGCCAGCCTGGGCTACCAAGTGAGTTCCAGGAGAGGCGCAAAGCTACACAGAGAAACCCTGTCTCGAAAAACCAAAAAAAAAAAAAAAAAAAAAAAATCCTGCATGCTTAACAAGCTCTTGGA